GAGACCTTCCTTGCTTCGAATCCAGTCTTGACTGCATATGAGGGCCTCGAGTGTTTCTGGCTTCATTCTAGTTTGATAGTCGCTGAGGACTCTGCCATTTGTGGAGAATGCAGCCTCTGATGCAATTGATGTCATTGGAACCATCAATATCGTTTTTGCAAGCTTTGAAAGGTTTGGAAATTGTCCATTGTGGGTGCTCCACCAGGCAAGAATTGAGAAATTGGGGGAGTCAATTGTAACTGGAGGTTCCTGGAGGTACAGATCAAGCTTGGCAGTGGTTGAGATGGCTTGGGTGGATTGGATCTCACTGAGATATTTCTTGAAGCTCAGGTCAACATTTTCTTCAGCAATGACAGATTTTGGTTCATTTGATTGTGTTTGAATAATATCAGTAGATTCCACAACATCTATCCGCTTTGGGGTGTTGGATACAAAATTGTTGAACCAGTTAGAGAGGTTTTTCTTGATAGCAGCAATACTAGCTGCTGCTTGATTGTTACAGAGTTTGTCCTTAAGAAGAAACTCAATCATCACCAACTTTCAGCAAGGATCAAAAACAAGAATGATTGCCAAGAAGTCCTTCATCTTCTCCCAGTACTTGTTGTATTTGTCTTGCATTGGCCGTATCAAGTCAATAAGGTTAGCTGGTCCACTGTCCAGCACATTTTTGAGTTGTGTGTTGATTTGCTTCATGTATTTGTAAACAGCATGAGCTGTTGGATGTTGGTTCATAGTGAGTTTCTTTGTGGCTACAGAATAAGAACAAACCACCGGTAAGTTGAAAATTCAACAGTCATTGAGGTACCTAAAAGCCAAGATTGAAAAAACTGACCAATGCTGAATATTTCCAAGAAATCTTGCATAGCCAATATTTCCTCCCACTCCTAAGGGGTTGGGCAGTCAGTAAAGTTTGCATCGTGCAAGGCCAGACTTGAGCATCTCATAAGTTGAGTTCCAGCGGGTGGGAACATCAAGTGTTGGGAGGGCTTGACCTTTTGACATGTTGGTTAAGTTGATTGCCTCACTGAAGAGCTGCTTTTGAGAAGGGCTACTTTGAGTGAATCACACACCATCATAAATCTTGCTTATGGAGGCCCAGACATTCTTGAGGCCATCTTTTACGATAAGGTTGATTATGTGGGAGGCACAACAGACATGAAAAAACTTCCCATTCATGTTGAGTAGCAAACTGCTTTGAACTTTGAGAACTGAGAAGACTCAAGCTATGGCAAGATTGTTTGCTGATGCGTTATCCACAGTGATAAAGGCAACTTTATCAACAATTTTCCATTCCACAATAGTTGTAAGCAGCTGATCAGCAATGGCTAAGCTGGTGTGAGGGGTCGGAAGCTCCTTGAAAGCAAGAAGGCGTTTGTTGAGGGTCCAGTTGGAATTGATGAAATGTGACAAGATTACCATGTAGGGAGTCTGGTTAGAAGAGGTCCAGATGTCAGTTGTTAAGGCAATCCAATCAACTTGGGTGATATTGACCATGAGTTTTGCTTTCATTGACTGATACAAATCAATGATATCAGACTTGATCATGCAGCAGCTAAGGAGCTTGAATTTTGGTTGCAGTGAGGCCACAGATGCTCGGAAGATGGGCTGCTGAACTAGGGTGAAGGGATGCTTGTGTGTGATGATCATTTTCAATAAGAGTTCATGAGAGGCCTTCTGAGAAAAAATCCAAGTCGATACTGATGATGAAGTTTCTGAAACTTTCATTAATGATTGTTTGCTCTTTGTGACATAGGAGCTACATCGTTCTAGGTGTTGCCAAAGGTGTTTTGTTCTATTCTTGCTCTTTCCGTCCATCGGTACTTGACAATAAACACAGGTTGCCTTCACTTTGGTTCCTGGGAGGCACAAAAACATATTAGTAAAATCTTCAAGGCTGAAAGAAATTAATAATCAAAACAGACCCTTTGCCTTCTTTGTAAAATGCGTCCAAATATCACTGGTGGTCTTGCGCTTCCTTGTTTGATGAGTAGCAACATATTGAGCACTTGATGTGGCCTGCTCATTTTTGTCAGGATTCTTTTGTGATGCTGAGGGAGTAGCAGAGGTTGTCTGGGTGTTGGGGGAATTCTCAGAAATCTGGATGTCATCAGAATCTGAGGAAGATGGTAGCACAGAAGTGAAACTTTTTTTGAATCGGGCCATTCGGGGATCTGAGGGAGCTGTTGAGTTGTGATGGGAGAATAGCCACAGCTACGTGTTAATATTTAGATAGCCTGGAACTTAGAAGGCTGGATCCAAGAACAATACACACACAGCTACCCTATGTAATTGGGTTTTAGCCAGGTTTGTGGGCCGGCCCACATAAAAAACCTCTGCCCAAACCTGGCCAATACTTTCAAGCGGGTCTTGATGGGCCAGGTCAGCTCTTTATGGCAGGACCTGAGGGCTTCCCAAACCCAAAGGGTCATGGGTCTTTCCGGGTTGGCCCAACCCATTTATATCCCTAGGTGGCACAGAGAAAAAGAGGTTAGATTTTATGGGAAGAAAAGCAGACAGACTAAGATAGATAAGATCAAAAGCTGAGCATGTGAGAATAAAAACATGAAAAGGTTGATGATTTAGTCAGTGACAGAGATATGAAAGATGAAAGGGAGGCCAACAACATGTTATTTCTCACCAAATTGGCAGTATCCAAGCCAAAGGGTTGATTGAGAGAGTCAGAGTAATCATGACTGATGAAGTTCAATCAGAGTAGATATTGAGATGACATTGAGATCAATGTGATTGTTCAATGAGAGAAAAAAGCAATGGAAGATAAAGAACAAGGGATGGGATGAGGCAGAAGCAGAAGGGAAGGTTGATGATTGAGATTTTGATTGAGGTTTTGAGCGGTCATTTGAGGAGAAGTATGCTGAGCAGAAATGGTTGAAAGTCAATGTGAGGGCCAAGAGTAAGACATGTTACACTACTGATCAGTTTTTAGGCATAAAAAATCACTTGCACTGAAATACAACCCAAGCTGAAAATTTGCCACTACAGGTAGTGGTAAAGTAGGGGGTCATTCATTCAAATAATCATGCTACATGTAGGCCTAGATACTGTAGTGTATAGGAGCAACCCAGCATCTACATATAACTAAAAAAATAGGCTTAGAAAGCCAATCAAACTGTCATGCAATATAATGTTGGTGTTGACCTCCTATTAACATTTGTTGATGCCAATGTTAGACCAAGACAGACAGGTGTGCAACTCAAGCAAAACCCAAAAGGTCATCAAGTAAAAAACATTTGGGCAAATAAAATTACTAACCAAAACTCCCCAAAAATGGGGGCATGTACTACAGTCTACTACCAGTTGGTACATATAATGTTGTCTCTTCTTGGGTTTCTAGGGAAAAGGAATGAACAAGATACAACTTGTAAATATAGAGTAAATTAAGGATGAAAACCCTCAATTTCAACACCTGAAATGAACTGGTTTATTTTGCCAACTTAGCATCAGTATAGATATGGATATTTCCCTAAACAGACATAAGTGGTATTCAAAGTTGAACCAGAACTGCATGAGCATATTTTCTTTCCAATGAAGCTTGGACACTTCTATTTTTTCTGTTTTGGAGGATCCTGAACATTTCCTTGTTTATCCTCTGATATCTGCAAGTTTTTTCCTTGACATCTGCAGCATCTGGCCCAACTTCAAGGCCAGCTCAATTGGCCTTTCTATGCAATTCCCCCTTTTTTTGGTTCAGGAGTGAAGGTAAGAGGAAAGTGACCTCATTTTTGGAACCAAAGACAAAATTTTGCCCAAGGTTGCCAACCTCATCACCATTGCACTTGAGAGAAGTGGAAGGTTGCAAGGTGGTGGGTGGCAGGCTGTGGCCATGGAAAAGTGGAAATTGAAAGGTGGGGGGATAGTAGGGGCAAAAACCCAAGGAAAATGTAGGAAAACAAACACAGATCTGATGATTTTCAAATGCATAATCAAAACCAGAAGAATCAGATTGTGTCCAAAAGTTATAGGGAATACTAAATGCATATGATTCTTTGCTCATAGATTAATTCAAGCATGGATTTCGGAAGCAGTTCTGTGAAAACATTATTTATGAATTTATGTTTATACAGTTATGAACCAACTTTGAATACCAGGATTACATTCTAATAATTGTGAATTTCCTTTTCTATCAAATCTTACTTTTCATGGCAAAAAATGTGACCTTAGTCCTGTTTTGCTTTTCTAGGAGACAGGTCTGGTTTGCCTCAATTCAGCCTCCTGTTTTGAGTTATATCTACCTGTTCAAGAATGTCTTCCAATTTTCTAGTGACCAAGCACTTGGCAGCAGAACCAATCCAAGTTAGTTTGGAATTCACCCACCTGTTTCAAGATAAAAACAGCTTAAACCAAGCCCCTTCATTTTGTAAACTCAGTGCAGGCAGTGGATGAACAGGCCATTGAAAAGGTTCTGTAGCTGAGGCTCTTCAGAACATCACAGCACCGGTCAAAGAAGTCCGCACCTGCCAACTGGTCAACAGCCTGTTGGACCGGTTGCCTGCTGGTGGTGCCGGTTCCCATTCTGGGTTTCAAGCACTCTCAGCACAGTTCGGACGAGGCGGAGGCAGCGAGTGAATGAGAAAGATTTCTACACAAATTGACATTCCTCTATTTACATACAAACAGGATGTGGAGAGACTGGCTGAACTTTTCCAGAAGCTCAAATCCGCCTAATTGGATATATTCGCTTCGGCTGCAGACACCAAGACGTAATTAAGCTGGCCAATTGATCGCCAGAAAGTCTTGGAAGGGAATTGTGTCAAGCTCATTTGAATCCGGTTGGCTCGAGACCACAAGAGATCGACGGATGCCATCCAGTCTCAAGCTGGTGTCTTGAGTGCCTTACTTCGTGTGTGCATGTGTATTATTTAATGTATCGGCAAAAGCAAGGTAGCCGTCATCCATGCTCTCACTGCGGATTACACATATGCGAAGAGAGACACGTACCTAAATATATAAAAGGTTGGATCCCTCCTAAGGTGTTGAGCTTGCGAGCAGGGCCGGTCCCCACATACGCCATTCGCACCTCCTTCCACCAACTGTGTTCTCGGCAAGAACGGGGATTGCAAATGTTGATATATAACCTCCCTCACGGTTGTTGAACGCTGCGGTTGGACACTTGCAGTCTTGCATCATTCGAATGGAAAGCCTGTCCAAGTGTGAGAGAACCTTTGACAAGAACTCAAGCACCTTGAGACAAAGGCGGTGTGACACCTGACCGCTGCCCACCAACAGGTATCAAGGCCTTAAATAGCAGCTGAAGCTCCCCTTGGAGGCCTTCCACCAGCATCACATCCACCTCAGCAAATTTTAACCATACCTTCACTCATTAGACCAACTCTTGATTAAAGTGCGTTTCAGTTACAGCCTCATCCTCTCCTCTCAAACAGAACTGACCGCCTTCCTCACTCCTGCAGTTTATCGCCCGACATCATGCTTTTCTCTACCAAAGTCGTTGTTTTCATGGCCGCCCTCGCTGCCCAGGCCAGCGCTTCCACCAGCAAGCCAGCCCCTGGTGTAAGCACCTCTCCAGAACTCAGTAGAACCCAGTGGATCACTAACACGCCTCCTTTGCCCTTCATGTGACGAAAAGGCTATGGACATGTCCACCCCCACCCCTGGCAGCGGTGATTCCAGCAGTGCCCCACCAGCTGACAGCAGCGCCAACTCGACCGCGCCGGCTTCGCCAGCAGGAGGAGTAAGTGATTACTTTTTGCAACACGCCGTTCGCTTTCTCCTTATCTGGGTCTCATGTGCCTCTCCGTACACAGAACAACTCCACCTCCGCTGCTCCTTCCACCGCCCCCACCGGCGCCGCCGCCCCAGCCAACAGCTCCAGCCCTTCATCCGGATCAGCTGTCTCCCCCACTGGGGCTGGTGCTCCAGTCCCCGGTGACATGTCATCTGGGCAATGCATGTGCCCACCAGTTCGTGAGTCTTGTTTTCCCCCTTCCGTAGACGGAGAGACATATGAAGCTTATTATCATCGATACTCCACCCTTAGCCCAATGTGGTGCCAACCCTGGCAGCCCTGGTCTCCCCAGCCCAGGCTCTTCGGCGCCATCTCCCAGCCCTGCTGGCCCAGCTGGGCAACAAACCCCTGGAACCCCCGCTCCAGGAGCCCCAGCCAACGGAACTAACGGCGCTGTTTCCCCTGTCGGTACCACCCCAGGTGCCGGTGCCGGCCAACCCACCCCGACTGAAAACACCAACACCACTGTGAGTAATGACACGTTAGCCATGAATTGCCCGACCGCCATTGACCCATTGCTCTTCTCAATCACCAGGAGGGAAGCGGCAGTCCTACTCTTCGCAACTCCTTCTCGCTTGCTGGTCTCTTGACCGCCGGAGCTGTTGCCTTGGCCCTCTAAGCCGAGCTCATCCTCACTCACGCTAAACCCCATTGCCGCTCAATGTTGTCCTTACATCCCCCCCTCATCCCATTCTTCTTTGTCTCTATTCATGGATGTAAACCGAGCTTTGAAGTCTGCTTAATATGAATCAACTTGACAATATTGCCCCTCTCTACCATCATGATGCAACTTCATCATCCTAACTGGGTACCAACTGAGCTTTAAGTAACTGCGCCTTATGCTAAAACCCGTTTTCTTCGGAGCATGAGCAATGGGCATGAGAACATTGTTCCTCACGAGGTACTTTGACGTGCTGGAAAGTGCCTTCAAACGCGCAGTACATCGTAAGCCGAGTCCCAAGTATAGCAGCCTCACACTGACTAGTAAAAAGGCCTACCGCGGAGTCAAACAGACAGATATCCTTAGACTCCGCATGGCTGAATTCATGCGGATGCCACCGGGAACTCCTGGTTGGCACTGATTAGCGGGAGCCGCCGCATTATGAGCGTAGCACCCGACGATCTACCTCTTATGGCTCCCCTCCTTGGATTTTGTGTGTTATTAAAAGCTAGGAAAAAGAGCAGCGCGCGCGACTTGGCGACCTATTCGGCACTACCCTGCAGGACCTGGCAATGGGCTTGAGAACATTGTTCCTCACGAGGTACTCTGACTAAGTGTCTTCCAACGCGCAATATATCGTAAGCCGAGTCCCCAGTACACCAGTAGCATCACAGACTCACTGCAGACCCATAGAAAGGCCTACCACCGAGTCACACGGACAGATATCCTTAGACTCTGCATGGCTGAATTCATGCGGATGCCGCCGGAAACTTCCTGGTTGACACTTATTAGCGGGAGGCGCCGCATTATGAGCCTAGGACCCGACAATCTCATTCCTTATGGCTCCCATCTTGGATTTTGTGTGTTAATGAAAACTATGGAAATCGCAGCACGCGTTGTCGACCCATTCGACACTAGCCTGCAGCAACTCGCAGTTCTTTAACTTCTTTTGGGAGGTCTGTAGCTGAGTACTTGTCGACTGCATGGGCAGAAAGGGGTGGGGGTGGATCGCTCTTCAAGCAGTGCACCGGGAACATTATATCTGATAATGTTGTTGTTGATCGTGACCGAAATGTGCGCCAACGGATTGTAAGATGCAAATCCTCACCTCTGTTGGCCCAAAATGAGATTTATTTTGAGATTCGGTGAGATAACCACTCTGAATCAGTAGATAATCTTACAGATAAAAAAAAAAAGAAGAAACCCTAATCAATCGACCGATCGTAGTTTCATGAAAGATGTATTTATGATAACCAAATCAGTGAAATAGATTGTGCATGCTTGAGAACGAGCTACATACATGAGTAGAGCTTACAAGCCAAGGGAAAGAAAAACAACAGGAAACCAAAAAGTAGAATGGATGTAGCTCTATATAGAGAGGAAAGCAGAAAGGGTGGAATGGATTCGAATAAAGATGCATGACGGTTCTAGATAGAACCAGGTATACATAATTATATGTCTAAGGGGAGAGAAACAATAAGTGCGGAGATATTCAGAATGAGAAGAGATGATGGATCGAGGTAGCAGTTATCATAAGCAAGGTTATCTTGGGCGGCGGAATCGATAAAAATGAATACATGAAGGATGCAAGAAGAGATAGATAGAGAGAGAGAAAAAAGAAGATTGGTATCTGAATGCGTGTGTTGTATGCGTATTTATAGTTTCGTAGAACAAGTACAACATTGATGAGGGTATTTTGTTTTGTGATTGAGTCATGCAGTTGAGATGATTGATGATAAAATAAAAGGGGGGGGGAGGAGATATGAAGAAGATACCGGAATCACACAGATCAGACAACCCTAGAGGTTATCAAAGAGTTATGGGTCGTAGCAACACTGGCGCTAGTGTCTGCAAACGGATCAGCAAATGGATCCAAGGGCTCCTTCTGATCAAGATCGCTTGAGAGAGAAGGGTGTGTCTCCGCAGAAGTGGGAGCGAGATACTGGTGGAACGGGTTATTAGTAGTTGGAGGGGAGACTTTAGTCGAGCCAGTAGTTTCCTCAGTTGTATCATCGCTCGAAGATGCCGAGTCGTCGAAGTCCGAATAGTCTGAGAGCGTGCCGGGCTCGTAATTTGGCTGGGCCTCGCGGGTCCCGCCGACCGAGTTCGGGACCAAGGGGGCTGGCAGGTTGTCCCGGCCGTCCATGAGAGCCGTCTGGTTAAAGTCGAGGCCCAGGAGATCTGCCGCCGGGGATGCCGGATGTTCGGCGGGAGTGTCGACGGCGTAATTCTGGTCATCAAACAGATTCGGTTCCGACTGACTGGTCGGTTGTGGGGTCGTGACCTTGGCCTTCGTGAGCCGGTCTGCCAGTCGATCAACTTGGCTGTTTTCGGGCTTCGATTGACTCAGGTCCTCGTATAACTCTAAGGCTGTCACCACCTGTGCATTTGTATTCAATAAAGTACCAAGATATTCACCCTCTGAGTCATGCTCGGAAACTATGGTTGATCATACATGAATGTTAGTTCTTTCGAGTCGATCGCCAGATCATTTCAGGGAGATGGATTGCCTACCGATTTGAATATATCTAATCAGAGCTTTCTGTGACGCTTTGGCCTTCTCTACCAGTCCTCCAACCGTAAGATCACGTGCGACCTGATCCGGACCAATCAATTGGAGTCGATTGACCAAGCTGTGGAAAGAAGTGACGTTATGTATTTAGAGCCATGAATTTGGGAAGGTCAAGTGAGATGCAAGATATGACAAACTTGTTGGCACTTTGAGAAGCAGAAGCAACGGCCTGTAAGATTCGGGGCTTTTCCTTAATTAAATCGAATGCCAGTAGAGAAGACGAATCTGAGGCAGGTAAAACCAATTCCGTCCGGTAGCGCTGATCGATAGGAGAAGATTTGAGCTTTTCTTTGCGTTTTTTGTCTTGCTTCTTTTGCATCTTGAGTTGGGCTTTAGAGATTGAGGGGGTTGGCTCCAGGCCGGTCGATGGAGGCTTGTCGATGCCGGTGATCATTGAACGTTGGGTGGATGTTTTGCGCTGAGTGGATGAGGATGAGGGTGAGAGCTTTTCCAACTTCGCCCGTCCTCCACAGGTCTTGAATAGGCTAGCTGCCACGATCATATTGGCGTCTGAGCCATAAGCTTTCTCCCAGTCTTCCATCATTATCAGCAGCCTACGCCTCACTTTAGAATCAGTCCTCGGATCTGATACTAGGCCTTTGAAACATTCCACCAATCGTGCATCGGCAAATGTGGCTAAATCAAAAGGAATATATATATATTTTCTCTTATCAGATTGTGGCTCTTTCCTTCGTCAATGACTGGCTGCTTGGTTGCATACATTTAAATCGACTGCCTCCATTCAAGACGAGTGCTTCGAGGATTGTTAGAGCCTTGGCCTGTTGGGTCGGTCTGCCATGTTTGAGTTGTTTCCGGATGGCCCGACTGGCTTCCTCGGGACTGAGAACAGAAAGGGATTGATTGAGTTAGTGACGGGTGATACCAAAACAGTACCAGGCAGGAAGTTAAGCTTTTAGAGAGTACTGACCCAGTGGGCTGTAAGTTGATAGACTCGACCAATTCGATTATGAATCCATTGAGGTCGTTTTGGGCTGAGTCCCTGTTTGGATCACAAATCCTTTCGATCCAATCAGTCACCGCTGTCTGTGGTTTGGTGAACAGTTCCTTGGCTTTGGTTGGGTCTGAGAATAAGGAGGGCATCGTTCTAGTGATATGATTATTATTGTTTATTTTATTTTATTTTTGATAATATTTCAGATAAAGAACATTAAATAATAAGTATCCGGCTGATGGAGTGGTTGGGGTAGCTGTGTATGGCGCCGTGCTGGGTAATATGCATGTATGGTCTACGTAAGCCACCCCCGGACTTCGATTTCAGCTGGCCCAGCTGTTGCTTACATAATCCATGCGCCAAGCCGAACAAAAACCTTAATTTGTCCCCTCTCGGTCTGTAGATGTGACCGACGAGCGGGGCGGAGATCAGCCTCAATGACGGAGTGATCACACCAACCAATACAGTGACAGAAAGGACTGCAGATGAGAAACGAATTATTATTGAATTCCTCTTATGTATGGGCTCAGTCCACGATCTATTTGTCTAGGTGATCATCTCAAGCTAGAAAATTCAATGTCATGTATTTAACTCGTCGTTGATCATCCAAATCGAGCAAGATCTTCATCAACAGATCCCACCAAAGCGCAGACACCCAAGCAACAATAACAAATTTCCGAAATAGCAAATAGGAACATCCTATACATATCCACTCTGGCTGAACCAAGCAACAATATCTTATAGCAAGGATGGGAATGTACATACTTGGCTAGGACAGGAAGGACTTTCAAACAAAGAGCAGCCAAAAGAATCCATGGGAGACCAACTTTTGAGTATACTTTATAGGATAGGATCCTGTGGATACTTGGATTCATGGCAGAGGATCCTGTGCATCTTTGCTTTGCCATCTCTAGCCAAAAACTTTGATTCCAATCTTCTTGTGTCCAGAGGGTCTTTCCCCTCATCCTTGGCCATTATCAGAAATCTACTGATATCTACAGCCTACAGGACTCAATTTCATAAGCCTTCTGATGGTTGCAATTCTGCGTAAAATGTGCTTCCCACATGATCACAACGTGTTATAATTGTTGAATGTTATCTTTTGTAAGTATCCAATTTTTCAGCTATTTGACATCATGTCCCAAATATCCTACAAGTCATATGTCATTCAATCTTTGCAAGTGTTTTCTTATGATACATCTGGTCTCTTGAACTGGAAATTCTTGTTTCCCGCCAGCTTACACTCAAGCTTCAACAACCTGGTTCAAATGTGTATGGATTGGTACCTTTGATTGGTGTTTCTACCATGAAGGAAAGGTTTTGTTTGGATTGGACTGTGATCAATTTCATCTTCCAAGACAGAAATTATGAGATTATCAGCATATTTATAACTGGATGGCCAGGCTTGTGCAACAATGTTCTACTTTGCAAGAGCAAAGAAGCTCACTCAGAGCACATCTGATTTGAATATTCAAATTCTTGATTAGAAGTTTCAGGATACATTGATCAAAATGGTAAGAGAAGTCTTGGAATTCTATAGGCCTATAAGGATTTCTTTTAAAGCACAATAGCAATGGTAGATCAATACAAAAAATTGTCACACTTCATGCTATTATTATTTTTCACCAAGCAAGAGGTTGACTGTAAAGGCCTGAACCGTAGGGCTTGAAAATCCAATTTCTTAGAATTTATCTTCCTCAAATTCTCATATAATCAAAAGTGACCATTGCAAATAGATAGCTTTTGGCCTAAAAGTGAAGAATTTTAACAGCAGACTTCTTGAATTGTTTTCAATTTTTGTGTAGAAGCCAGGAAAAATAAAAATTTTCAAAATTGAATCCCATGGTGCAGGCCCTAAAATTTATGCTTGAAAAAAGCCTTGGACAACCTTTCATCCAGACTCCTTAATTTGGTGCATATTGTAAAATATTTGTTGGAGTATTCTTTCAGTCTCTCCTGTTTATTCTTTTTCCTTTCATGTGCTTCTTACCTTTCACCTCAGTTTCACTCACATGTCACAAGATCTATAGCTTACCTGGGCCAGGGTACGTGGAAGGATTCCTTTCCTCATCCTTCCACAAACATCTCACTCTGACCCAGGTATGTCCTCACTTCTCTCTCTCTTTTCTTTTCTTTTCTTTCTTCTCTCTCTTTTTTCTTTCTTCTCTGATGTTTGTCTCATTGTTTATTGATGCAATTTATCCTTCCACAAACATCTCACTCTGACCCAGTCTAACAATATTGTACAGTTACCAGTATTAAGAATGTTGAAGTTGTTTATTATATTTCCTTTTCTTTTTTGATGCATGTAGCAAAGCCTTGCCTTTTTTCCCAATAACTTAAGGTTTCTGAGGGCTTTTTCAGGATGTAAAATATTGGTTGGATCAGGCAAAAATCCAGGGAAATCGATGTAGGAATTTCTAATGGAACATAATCTACATGTTAAAAAATAAACTGCAGTTAATTACTTTCTTTTTTATTTGAGCAATCTGAAATCCTACATTCCCCATGTTAAACTTCAAGAAATTTCAACTGTCAACTGAGTCACTATATCCTTGTGGATGTAGCAGTCTGTGTGAGTAGCATGACTACCAAAGTGCCCATTCTAAGTCTGAGACTTTGCCAAGATGGAGAAGTGTGACCACAACGTGCGACTGAAAGCGATGTTACCCATTTCTACGGGAGCAAATCGTCAAGCTTCGATAAAACCAGTTCCTTATAACTGGTTCCAATGTAAGATCGACATCACTTGACACTGCTGATAGTTTTCGTCCTGTAGTTTTTAATTTTGGTTTCTCCAGATTACCGGGAGGAGCGATACCCTCTTCGTTAACACGCTCGACGTGCCACAAGCAGCAACGCTGTTGTTCCGGTCATTATGTTGTCAACTTCGTACTCTGTGCCGTATCCTGAAGAGACGAACCCACCCATCAAATCACCAGCATAGTCTGAAGAATCAAGTAGATGCAAAGAGTCACGTGACTCCGGCCAATAGGAGACTGTGCCATCTCTTCTTACCATACGTTGGGATGGCTTCGTCTTCGTTGCCATAGCCTCCGCTAGCACCGAGGGGACTTCATGAAGGGGTCAAGTCTGGAAGCCTCGCTGAAGAGAATGCGGAGAAGCAGCAGGGGATCTCGTCTTCCAAGAGTGAAAGTTCTCCGATAAACGCAGTTCACCGGGTCTGCCCCATCTCCTCGGTTTCGTTCCCAGGTTTTAGCGATGCAACTGCAGTGTCCTAGCCAGTGGTCTCGAGGCAGGGGAGACTGCCGCAACCAATCGACGACGGCTTCTAGTTGGATTCGAAGTGAAGTTTCATTCAGCTTGCTCGACATCGATCTGGGTTTCATACGGGGTGAAGTTTTATCTCGGAGGCAATGCCCCTTTGACCGCCTTTAATCAATGTCATGGAGGGGATTTGTGAGCTACAAATACGGCAGCTTTCCCCACGAAATCCCTTTGTCCATTTTACTTCACCAGCTCTCAGAATTTAATCCAGTCCTTCATTACACAGCTTTCAGAATCTCAGAACCACCTGGCCGAGTGAGCCCGATTAAACCGCCTATCCTACTTTCCAATCGTTTTTATCGTTTGCATAGTCTTTTCCCCATCTCTATAGCGGGGAAGAATTCAGTTCCAATCTTTGATTTCCTAGGCTTTACGCTCCTTAGTGCTGCCCATTAATCCAGTCTTCATATATCTCTCATTTTTTCCCACTTGTTCCTCTTTCTCCCTTGTTCCACAAAGATGCCACGCACCAGCCTCATTTGTCTCGTGGCTCTGGCTGCCCGTCAAGGGTACTTTGCCAATGCCGCTGCCATCGCAGCAACTGCCTCTTCATCATCTTCCGCCTCAGCCTCAGCTGGTTCCACCTACATGGTGGTAAGTGCTTCATTTCCTGAGTTTATTGTGGATACTCATTATTTCAGTATTGGCATTGATTGGTTCACTTTAATTCTCGCATGTAATTTTATCAGAATGGCCAGGTGGTAAAATCCAGTTCTAGCTCGGCGCAAGCTGGTGCTGGGGCGTATGCTGTGAGTCAAGCATTCGACGTATCATGATGTCTGATATAACCAATTAAGCTCATATATTTTCAAACCCTTGTAGTACGCCGACTCGGATGGGCATCAACTCGAGAAACATTGGTCCAACTCCTCGACTAACGGGTCCAAAAAGGTGGGTCTTGAAGAATCCCAAAAGGACTATTAATTTCTCAAGTGAATATTAATCATGTGGTCTAAAAATCTAGAAATGTGACTGTGAGGACAAGGGCTCGAAGCCTTGTGACCAGCAAAAACAGGATAATGGCAATTCGCCCGTGCCCGGAGTCTCTAGCGGAGACACCTCCCCTTCTGGATCCAACCAACCCGGATCCAATTATCCGACTGATGCATCCTCTGGATCTGGAAACTCCTACCCATCAACCCCCAGTGGAAGCGCCTACCCCTCACAGCAGGGCTCTAACTGTACCGGCGGCGGCGCGGGTTCCTCTTCGGGCTGCACTTCAGCATCCAGCTATCCCGATAGCTCCCCATCACCAAACAGTTCCGGTTACCCATCGGTCTCAAGTGGGGGAAGTGATTACCCATCCGGCCCAAGTGGTGGGAATAACTACCCCTCAGTCTCAAGCGGCGGCAGTGATTACCCCACCGGCTCAAGTGGTGACAATAACTACCCATCGGTTTCAAGTGGTGGCAGTAATTACCCATCCAGCCCCAGTGTTGATAATAACTACCCATCTGTCTCAAGCGGTGGCAGTAATTATCCATCCGGCCCCAGTGGTGGAAATAACAACTACCCATCCATCACAAGTGGGGGCAGTGGCTACCCATCTAGCAACACAACATCCGGTCCTTCTCCATCTGGAAACGGATATCCTTTGCCGAGTAACGACTACCCCTCGACAAGTGGTAACAACACTCCACCAATCTCCAGTGGGGGTGGCAGCTACCCTTCAGGTTCAAGTGGGACATCACCTCAGGGTAACAGTTACCCGTCTGCTCCCAGCGGAGGAAGTGACTATCCTTCTGTTACTAGTGGGGGGAATGGATATCCAACAAACTCCACCGGGAGCAACAGTTATCCTTCGGGCTCTCCATCAGTAACCAGTGGTGGGGGAGACGTACCCCCACCTGTTTCGAGTGGTACAAATGACTATCCATCAGGCCCGGCTGGTAATGATTCCCCTTATCCTTCAACCTCAGGCAATACTGGCTGTGGCTGTGAAAAGGGTTCTGGAGACTCCTACCCCAGTACTCCATCTGTCACTAGTGGTGGCTCAACCCCAGGGGGAATTCCTTACCCAGGCACACCATCTGTCACTAGTGGAGGCTCAAGCCCTGGAGGAAATAACTACCCGGATACTCCATCTGTCACTAGTGGGGACTCATACCCCGGAGGACAACCTCAAAATACTCCCCCAGTCTCAAGTGGAGGTTCTTACCCTAGCATCCAATCTCCCTCTGGCTCACCCAAAAATTCATCATACCCAAGCAATGGCAATGTGCCCACACCAAGCGGAAACAATTCCACTAGCCCAACCCACCCATGCTCCACAAGTGATACTTCCGGTGGCAGCAACTGTGACACTCCAACACCAAGCAATAAGAGTCCTGATGGTAGCTCACCCAAGCCCCATGACTCTGGTTACCCTGATAATTCCACAACTGTTAGTACTTTTTATCACAAAATAAGAATTGAAATCCCAATTTTCCCGAAAAACTGACATTCTTTTTCCTGGATGTATTCTGTAATTCTAATATATGTAGACTAATCCCAATGCAGCCACCAATCTGGTTGGCCATTCTACCATTGAGATTTTGCTTTTAACCCTTGCCAGTGGATTTGCTGTTACTTTCCTTTGAGATGTAGAGTCACCTGTATCTAAATTCAGGCAGGGATCTATTTTGAGGTGATTGATTTTTGGACTATCACCTACATTTTTTTATCATCCTAAATTTTGGGTTGGGTATAAGGAGGGAGTGGGCATAGAGGGTTATTACACAACATGATTTACCCAAGTAGCTCTTCAAAGTAGCTATTTGAAAACATTAAATTCCCCAAATAAATATTTCCCAAAACTCAGGACATTCTAGTTTAGCATTTCAAACCAAAATCCTATTTTTATATTCTACAAAATTCCTAACTTGTCAGTTTAAATTACGTGTCACTTTATGCTTGAAAATTTGGATTATTTTGTCAATGGATATGGATAAGATGCAAAACCTGCACTACAGAAAGCTACCAAAAAACAGTTTGATATCATGCCACACAATTGAGCCAATCCTTTTTGTTTTATGGTAGATATTTGAGATTTTTAATATACCTTTTGATTCCTTTCAAAGAAATTTTGATCAAAACATTTCTGTTTTGTTGTCCTCAGTTATTCTCTTGTGAGATTTCATGAATATATATTACATGTTGAGATGGAATAGAATGAGAGGTACAAAATTGCAAGGCATTGCACACCTGAACTTATCCAAAAAGTACTTAACTGGTAATTGTTGTGATAATTTTGTCACAACCAGTGATGTGCCAGTTACACTAACAGTAGAATTAGCACGGTGTAACATGGCAGAATTCTGCTAAAATTTAGCATAGCACGGTGGAATTATGCTGCACCCATGCTAACACTACACACACAGGGCCCCAAGATGTGTCTGCTATGCTTCAATAACACACTTTTTAGTGGAATTTTGGCCCTGTAGTGCAGCGTAGGGTAGCAAAAATAAGCTAAAAATGTGTCAACACTATGGGATTTTCACACAAAAAAAGTGATGCTACACCAAAACCGTTTGGGCCAGATGCACAGCGTAGCATAGCAGCCCATCATTATCACAACTTGAAAAAATTAAAATTTCTGCACCAATAATTAGTCTTATACACATCACTATCAGGGGGGGGGGGGTTAAATTTGACTTTGCATGGATCCAGACAAGTTGCTCTGCACAAAAATTGTGTATGCCAAGTTGCCAAAATTCACACAAGTAGCTTTTAACCAATTACAGCTAGCCTTATAATGGATATTTACAACTCAACCTTCTGATTTTATGTGCAGAGTAGCTTACAAAATTTGTGCAAGTTGCTCCAACACAACTTTGAATCTCACCATTTTCTATCTGTAGACATCCCACAGTACAAAAGAATATGTACACAGATGTTACGGTTAATGACTGGAATTTCAGCCCCTTACAGAATGATAATAGGCATGCAATTTTGCTAGAAATCATCTTTGTGCTTGCCATTTCCTGTTTGGATCAATCTTATCCCTACACATTTTACTTGTAGAGGCAAGCTAATGTTTCATTGAAAAAAACTGAAATGCTGAACTATTTCTGGCCTGTAGTGTGCGCTTCAATTTTGAAAATTTGTCATTTTTTTTTTGGTCTTCTAAATAAAAACTGAGAAAAAAAAGTGGAGAGATCTCTTATTGAAATTCTTCACTTTTGATATGTAGCAATTTTGATGAGATGAAAATTTGGAGAAGATAAATTCAGAGAAAGTGAATTTTCATGCTCTATAGTACAAGTCCTTATTTAAAGCTTTGGTGTTAGTTTATCAATTTACATTTCACTTGCCTTTCAGCTAAATGCTTCCTCCTCTTTTTTATGGAAAAATTGCAACTACTGCAAATATTCAATTTGAGCTCATTATCAGAATTCCATGGTGTTGCCATAGCTGGGGGGGTGCTCGGATCAGACATATTGAGGTGACCGATGTCCAGTTTTGCATTCCGGGGTCAGCGATATGCAGAACCGGTGGAACATGTCTGAGGGGTTTGCGGACCGGCGTGTCCAATCAATTCATCCCGGAATTGCTTCCTTCCAGGGGAAGGTCACAGTGCTCCGCGTGATCTCGTCTGACGCCGGATGGTGATGGACGGTGATGCTTAGTGACAGTTGGGCTGGTAAAGAATGCTTGACTATCAATCAGACCTGGATTTCCCCTCTGCTTGTGGGGATTTGCAGGAATTTGCCAGCTTGCAAGGATGAATGTTTGATGTTGCATATGCTGCTCTTTTTTTCCGCTAGTTGCCATGAGCTCGTGAAGTGAGGTACAACAGACTTGATTTTAATGATCTGTGAAAGTTTTGTACAAATAAAAAAAATTCTTTCCTTTTGCGATCGAGAGTGCGAATCTCCTTCGTTTGTAAATGTATGCACGATTGCGCAATCCCCCGGGCACTTGTTGCTATGCATCCAGATTCTACATAGTTAAACCCCCCGTTGCTGGATATCTCAAAAAGGGCATGTCTTGTTGTGTTGGATTGGCCTCCTCGATTACTCTGATACCGGTCTTGACCTTTTCCTTTCAACCTCGGTAATCTCCCAACCAAGCCATTTCTTCTCTAATATTGCTACCATCCTCCACCTCTTCCACATAGTTCTTACTATCTCCTACATACTTGTAGTCCTGCGTCGTCGAGCACTGGTCGGGTGACCGGTTCTTTAGTCAATCGGACTCGGTAGTCGAGCTTCGGTTGTTTTTTATGAAATTCGGTCGATTGAATCGATCCGGGTGACGTAGCACAGCCTCTCAGTCTCTCCCCTGTCCTGCCAGCTACATACATACAACAACAAGCGCAGGCCATTCATATATATAGTGCCACCCTTCCTCCTCCTCCCCCCCCTGCAGCCTTGTATGCTACACCCACTCAACAATCTTCCACTCCGACTCAACTGAATACTCCTTTTGCACTTTTTTTTAGTCCTTTATAATTGTTGTTGTACTGTTCTCGCACTCTTCTTACTCTCAGTAATACTCAATTCGATTTTCCGCCATGTCGACGCCAATGACAATGCCTGTACCCTTCCAGCAGTTCATGATCCATCCTCTTCAGGTTAACCACCACAATAACCACCCGCTTCCCCCTTCGCTCGACTCTGCTCACTCTGGGGCTTCGAACCTGTCTCCCTCTAACCATTCGACGGTCTCTTCGGTTTATCCCAACTCTACTAGCACTGCTGCTACCTCGCCAGTATCCAACTTCCAACCAATGGCTCTCCTCGGCCCCGGCAACCTCATGGCCCATCAGCAGCCCGCCAATCCTAACTCGACCACCCGTGTCCTACTCCTGGCTGACTTCAACAAGGAGCTCAAGACCAGAGACATCCAGCATGTCTTTGCCGAGTGGGAGGATGACCGGGGCGGGTTCAAGATCAAGTGGGTCGACGATACCTCCTGTCTGATCGTCTTCGCCGATCCTGGCGTAGGTAAGCCGATCTCCCCCCCTCTTCTCTCTCTCGCTCTCTCTCCTCCTGTCGGCTGTCCAACTAACTGGCTTATCTTGCTCTCCTGGCTTTGTCAAACCACACAGCCAAGCGGGCCTTCCTGGGTGTCTTATCTAACCCACCCAGCTCCTTGACCACCATCCAGCCCGACGGCACCGGCAAGGCCGCCACCCTGCGTGCTTACAATAAGCCCGACGTCCCTCAGATCTTGGCCTCCGTCCAAAACCGTCCCCGATCTCGATCGAACGCGTCCCAATCACTTCATTCGCGCGCATCGTCGATTGCCTCCACCGGTGGACTCGGCAGAAGACCAAGCATGGGCGCCATGGCTGCTCGCAATCGGACCTCCTTATCCGGGCCCTCTGGTCTTGCCAGCCGTGCTGGTTCGATCGCCTCGATGGGCTCCAACTCGCTCGGCCACCCTGAGTTAATGGATAATAGTGCCTCTGTGCCCACGAGCAATGGCAGCATGTCGATGAACCCAGCCAGCAACTTATCGAATGCTCCCAATTCCGACAGTGGTGACTCAAGTGCCACCGCCAACCTATCATCTGCGGGAGCATCGGGTATGAGGCCTCGTATCGAGGATGCCGGCAAACGATTCATCGCCTCCGGACTAAGCAAGCCGGGCTCAGGGATCACCCAGCAATCCATCAGCGAGCTTGACGGTAAGTATTGTTCGACTGCTTTCTTCTAAAAAAATCTTAACATCCTGCTGATTCAATCTCAACATTGCATCGCTCTTGCGCAGAAAATCCAAACACTGCCACTTACAACTTGGCCAATCTGACGATTGAAGAAGAGAGCGTCACGCCTACTGCAGCATCCCACTGAGTAGGAAAATGTGCAGGCAACGATTAAAGAAACTATACAAAACGTTGATCTCTCTTGTAGTGTTTATCGAGATAAGGAGCTCAAACAAGAAAATAAGAAGAAACCCTGTGGCTCAGTTTTGTTGTAAACGATCGTTCATTCGGTGTTGATTTATTTTTGTTTTCGAAAAAGAAGAAGAAGAACTGTTGATTTCCCCCCCCCCCTTTATTTTAGCTTTCTCATTGTACAAACTCCAAGACCTATTCACTTTATAAAAATACACAGAATCTGACTAGCACAAAAACATAAACAAACAGAACATAGGCTATCTCTATCCTTTGATGGAAATCCCCATCCGGCCTCAAGATTTGATAGCTTTGTTTTTTTTTTTCTTGCCTGTGTCCTCAAGAAAATAACAAAGCCGATCTATTTCTTTTGGTTCATGAATTTTTTTGTGATCGATCGGTTACAACTCTTTTCAAGTTCTACTTTCGATGTATTACTAAGATTCTTTCCTCTACCAAAGATATTCTTAACAAGTAAACAAACCCAAAGGAATGTCTTTAATTAGCTGAGTGTGATTCAGTGCCTCCTGCCAGTTGGTTTACATATAAGGTGGTAGGCTTTTGAGTCGAGGGATGGAGATCAAACCTAGTCTGGTTGAACAAGAGAAGCATCTGAGTTTATAATGTGCAATGATGAAACCTTGGAGTCTCACATCCAATAACTTAACTAAGTCCCTCCTTATTTGGAGAGGAGACCTAGCTAAGTTAGCACATTCAGGACTTGTGAAGTTGTGAAATTGAATTAACTTGTGGCTCATGTCTTGAATACTCTCCTTTGCTTCACTGGGCACGATTTGATTTGAAATATCAGGGCACTAGAAGTAGTCAAATTTTAGTACTTATATTCTGGGCTACTAATACTGGATGACTTCCTGTCGCAATCTACGACCCTCCCAGAAGTTGATTTACACCCCTTAGATCTAATTTTTTTATCAAAAAAAATAATTTTTTCTGAAGCCTTCTGGTAATAGCTCTCACATGAGCTGGTTGAAATCTTCATTGTGTTCTTAATTTACGACTGAGAGAGGACTAAAAAGCACTCTAAACCATGACGGGAAGTCCTCCACTATCTTTCAAACTCAGGCAAACTTCTAGAACTGTCTACATAATCTCTTTGTCAAAGTGATCTGACAGTGCAAGTGGTTTGGAATACTGTTCCTCTTAGTTCTGGGGGTCATTGAACCTCTCCCCTTATGAATGGCTCATTTTTGTTGACACAAAAAAACCATTCAGCATTTGGAATGTGGACAACGGTGGGCCAGCTACACTTAATGCAGTGTTAGTGTAGCTAAAATGAGCTAACATTTAGCTTAGTGTTAGTGCAATTTTGCAATTCTGCACTAACACTACACCCACAGGGCGCCAAAACTTGTTAGCTTTTAGTGTAGTGTTAGTGTGATTCCGTGCATCTGTGCTAACACTACACACATGGGGCGCAAAAAGGCACCCGCAATTCTGTGCTTCAGCGCTTTTTGGCCTTTTCTGCCTGCCGCTAAAAGTGCTGTAGCGTAGTGTAACACAGCGTAGCGGCAATAGCAGTGCGCTAACACTACCCAAAACAGTTTTGCTGTTAGCGCTGCTACAACATAGCGTAGTGTAGTGGGCGGTAGTGCAGGCTAGCACTACACAAAAAGACAGTGCTGCTACTACCGCTACGCTAACACTACAAGGCCCTTTAGTGTAGGGTAGTGTAGCAGCCCACCGCTGATGTGGATGTATAAAATTGAGCCTTGTAGAAATTCAGAGGTCTCCCTCTGGGCCAAACTGTTGAGTTGTCATTTCTATTAGGGGGTATCAAATATAGGAAATCCACCATTAGAAACCAAATCTGATCCCAGATTTCACCTTTTTTGCTTTCTTATATTTCTCAAATTACCAACAAATTCATCTAGAACCAACCATCCTATTACTTGATCAAAAATTTTCCAGCATATCTTATTGGTTCTTGTGATCTGATAGTATAGAAGGGCACAGCTTTAAACTCCACCATCCTCTTCTTGATTCAGCAAAAGATTTCATAGTCACTCCAAGTTCTGAGCCTTGCCCTGTGGGTCAGGCGTATGTCTCTCAGGTTTTGGTAGTCAGAACTCCAAAACCTGAGAGTTTTTCAACCAATCCACTAAACTTATCATTGATACAAATGTTGTATAGATAAATTAAAAGTATTGATTTTGGAAAAATAACTTTTTGAAATGGTTAAGCTTCAAGGCTTTCTGAGGAAACTGATTTCTTATACTCTTCTGTGGATAGGGAATTATCTTGTGTTTGGAACCAAAGCCCCATCAAATCAAGAGCTATTTTGAATGCTCTGATTCTACCAAACTTTCCATTTGAATTAAGGGATTCAATTAGACTGGTTTGAGCATCATTGAATGCTTCAATCTTTAGTTCTTCTTCTGAATGAAATGTACCCAGGAGAGGAGGATGATCACCAGTGCTGAGAAAGATCAGATTGTAGAACCATTCCAAAACTGCTTTGTGTGTTCCTTTTGTTTCTCCCAGAAGCTTTTTTTCCATTCCAATAAGAGAAAACCAGTTGTGACAAACATGTAAAGCATCTCCAATAGTTTTCATTTTGTTCATGATAGTTTGGGAAGCTTCATTTGGTCCTGCATTTGCACTTGGAAAAATTCTAATTTTGATTGTGTTATCGTAGACCGCAGGAGCACAAGATCTAGTAGTTGATGAATCCCTAATTACCATCAACCCCGGATATCTGACTGACAGTTTATATAACTCCTCAATTTCACCTGTTTTTTTGTTAATTTTGTCTTCAAGTTTCTTCCATTCACGGAAAGACTCAATACTCTGTTTTGAAAGGTACCTCTTTGCTTTTTGGGCAATGTGTATGATTGTATTTCCATCTTCAAAGTATCTTTCCTGTGCTCCTGGTGTTTTTAACTTCAAATTATTATATCTATAGATTTGTGCCTTCATTTCCATTTCTTCATGATCTTTGATATCTTCCTGCAAGTTTTTTGTGGCATCCATTTGGAGAATTATTAATGGATTCTCTTCAATTGGCTTTTGCTGAAAAATATTTAACTCCTGGTTCCATTCTTTTCCTTCTTCATTAGAGTAGATATGCATATGAATGTATCTGTCTTTGGGGATGTTTGGTAAGGAGAAATCACTGTATTGTGTCTCACCTTTCCTTCCTGATTCAATCAAATTTGACAAGTTGGAATTGGAAATACAATCTTTGGCTTTTGAACAATTCAATACCACTTCTCCCAACGGAGAGTTCAATTTCTGAGACCAATCATGAATATCTTGATCATTTATTAATTACAAGCCAAAAATGAATTACCAATGTTCTTTGTGAATCCTTAGAGTAACCTAAAAGGTTTCTAAATCAATGCTAACCTTCCTGATTGAATGCACTTCCTGTAGAGGAGCTGAATGTTCCATGTGGATCAACTTCAAAAGTGTGGTGCCAATCTTCTCCATGATCCCAAATGTATTTGCGCTTCTTACCTGCATAATAAACATATTTCAATTGTAATCAATGTGGTAAGTTTGGCAATTCTTTAATATAAAAAGCAACTCATACTGATTGGGCTGAATCAATATTAACCTTTCTCATTGGAAATGCTGTTGATGTGGGGACTGAAAGTTGACCCCAGATTATCATTGAAATATTGCATATGGAAGAAATCTAAAACAAATCAGAAAAAAGAGGAAGAAACATGTGCATAGAAATACACCTCCATCAATACAATCACTATTCCATATTTTAATTACTGAAAATATCTCACCACTAGAAAAATATTCAGATTCTTCTGTAAAGAAAATGTTTTCTGACATCATTCCCTGTTTGGAAGGTTTCATTTTCTCCTCAGGAAGGTCAGAAAGACCTTGGAATATGGGTAAATCAATGTGGGAAGCGGTAGCAGAAGTCTCATTTATCATGCTTCCAACGAAACGAGCAGATGAAAAGTTGAAGTTGAAGTAAAAAATCCAAATGAATTTAAAGAGGTTTGATGTGGTAAAATTCATATCTAAATTGTACCCTTCAGCAGTTTTTTGTTTTGATTATGCAGAAAAGGCTGAATCAGTTCAATGATTTTCACCTCCAATATAACCCTCAGGGCCCATGAGTACACATTTTTCTTTTTGAAATTTCATGTTTCATGATCTTATCCCTGTTTGATCATTTTTATTCTTGTATCAATACTGAAACATTGAATTTGTCATATCCTAGGAAGCTCATTGAAATTTGAGGGCCATGCATGAATTGATTACAACTGATATGGCCAGTGTATAAATATGCTTGGTCCTGACATGACAGGTACATGTCACAAAACCCCTGCTTGGCTTGTTTATAGTGAATTAAAACAGGTGTAAACCAGTACAAGAGTTAGGATGGAGCAAGGAAAAGAATATGATTGAGTCGGTACATGCTTTGAGTGTTGATGGTTGACTAATCTCATCGTAAAAAATTTGGCTCTTGATTCAACAGATTGTTTTGTTGATTTTGTTTTATCTTGTTGAATCATTCTATTTAATTTGACCTTTGCCTGGTAACAGTTGGTCCAAACCCAAATTTTCCTTGCTGGCTTTGGGATTGTGACTTATGAAGAGGTGGAGGTGGTGGGTTTTCTTAGTTAATTCAGCGGCTAACAGGTGTTCAAGAATGTGCTAGCTTTTGGAAGTTCACTGATAATCCTAACCAATCTAAGCAGAATATAAACTAGTGTTTCAGCTTGTCACACCAGTTTTTAGCATATTCTTACACTAAAAAAGTTCAATACATTGTAATGCACTACTAGTCAAATAACACCGCATCATTATTGGAAATGAAATTAGGGGCTGTTAGGGTATCAAATATAACCAAATCCACCATTATTTAATTGACTGGTTTGAAAAAATCCACCATTTTTCAAACATGTTGGTTATTCATTTAACCCCTTTTGGGGCCCATTGATGCAAAAAAAAGTTTTTGGAAAAGTGACTGGTTTCTAATTGTGGGTTTCCTATATTTGATACCCCCTATTCTTTATTTATCCCATCCCCTGAAGTCCCCTTTCATTATAGTCTGTTTTTAGTCGAAGTTATGCATTCCTGGCCCAGCTACTTGTAGTCTTAGAACCCTGAAGAATAGAGCTTACCAGCTTTCTAGCTAAACATTATCTTCTTGTTTGTGCACTCTCTTGTTGGTGCATATGATATAATATATTGAATTGGTTTCTTTTTCTTCCTTCATATTCTTTATGCTTCCAACCCCATTTTGATCATCTTTGTACAGTAGAACTCGTCCTAACCCATACTTGTCAAGACCCATAACCCCTCCAAACCCATAGAGACTTGGGGCCAGCCAATAAAGGGGTCTTAACCCATAAACCTGCCCTCCCCTGTAATTCATTGGACTTTGGTCTCCCAAACCAGAATTTTCCTGCTCAAACCCATACATTTTCCCAGTGGTACCACTGGGACCAGGGGTCACAACAACACATCTTTTGCAGATACCTGTCCAAAACCATACATTTTATGGGTCTTCAAAGCTATGGGTTAGTGTATGGGTTATGAGGGGCAACTGGCATTACCCATAACCTGTCATAACCCATATAAAAGTCAATCCACCAATGGGTATGGTTTAGGACAAGTTCTACTGTATCTAGTCTATTCAAACCAGCTAGTCAAGAAGAGATCTAACTCATCAGTTCTGCTTCATTTTAAAATCTTGTTCCACCCTTGAGCCCCCTAAGACTGCCAACTGAATCTGTTCACAAAAAAACACACCTCCCTCATCTCATCCTTGTCAACTCTGAATTCAGATTGTTGGATTATGACCAGTTGTGCGCGGCTTTGTACTGTATAGGATCTTGGGATGTCTGAATGGTTGGGAGCCAAAATTTGGAAAAATCTGAGCTTTTTTTGTTAATTTCTGGGGGGTTGAGACGTCAATCTGACATCCACGCTGCTGTAATTGATCCAGCTGAGGCACTCTTGAGCATGTACATTGGCTTTAAGCTTATGTGTATGGGCTTAGGCTGACATATAGCCATGTAAGTATGAGTTTATGGTGTCAGCCTATCCCATATCTATGTACTTAGGCTCCCATATTTGGCCTGTGACTGAATGGTCTGGTGAAAAAAAGAGTTTTTTTTTGGCTGGACCAAACTGGTCACCGTTTTAGACTTGGAATATAGACACCTTGCAGAATCCAAAAATGTATTCTTTACAGGTGCTGGACCCCCGTCGGGGGCAAGGTTCAACCCCACACAACCTGATCAACACTTTTGGGTGGCCTTGTACAGTACAATCCGTGCGCCACTGTAGCTTCAAATTCTTTGTGAGTTAAATTCAGTTGAATGCTGTTTCAGATTCAATCTCACTTTTCTGCTACAGCCCATTATCAGAATAAAGAGATAGAAAGGAGGCCAAGAGGTAGAGAGATAGAGTCTAGGGAGAGAGAGACAGAGAGAGTTCAAAGCCGGAAAGAAAATCAGTATATGTGTGTTGCTGATTGAAATGTAAATACATTGGATATGCATAACCATTCAGAAATAATATCTTCAATTAAAGAGTGTCAATCAATTCAAAATTATATATATATATATATATATATATATAGAAGCCATACAAAATATTGAAAAAAAAAAAAATTCAAAAGTTGATTATGTAGAATAAAATTTAATAGCTGAGTCTGTGTTGTAAGTCAAAGATTATTCAACAGAAGGTAAAGTATATGATTGTATGTATGTATAAATCTAGGTAGATTGGAATATTGATGATACACCTTATAGTGAGGCTTGATTTATGTTTGCCACAAGGATTGATCACAAAGGTAGAAGCAATCATGCAAGGAGCAAAATTTTCTTGAGGTTGGTATATGTAGACTAGAACCTGCTGAGGTAGGAGTGGAGAACGGAGATTTCTCTTTTGCGGTTGAGGTTGTTGGTTTTCAACACACTGGGGTATTTTTTGGGGGTGGTTTGGAAGTCGGAGTTTGGTCCTCGTTTTCTTGCCGTTCCGTCATGGGCTTTGTAGCGGGACCAATCGGATGGCTTGCGGATGAGCCTCGCAGTCGGTTTCAGGATGACCAAAAGGCCCGGGAGAGTCGGACTGATCATGTTGATGAAAGTCGAGATCGGCCAGCTCGAATTCGGGTTTGATGGGCGAGAGGTGAGGCGGGAACGGGAGCTGCCACCAAGTATCATTGGTTTCAACCTGCATCATTTCCCAGTAATATTTATCCTCCGATTCATTCCTGAGACCCGGTCTTGGCTGCGTCGAAATTAGGTTCAGCAGTTTCTTTCTCAAGATTCTGGCCGGAGGTTTTTTTTCCGTAGTTTCGACTATCGACGAAGGCGTGATCCGAAGATCGGGGGATTTGTTGTCGATGGGTTGGAGGTGATGATGGCTATCCGTCGCGGACAGGTTCATAAAGGCCGTTGTTGAGCCGGCTGAAGGCGGACATGTATCATATTTCCTTGGCGACATTTCTAGAAGCGATTTCGTAGAGCTTCCCTGTTCGTTGTAGGGAGAATAGACCTGGCTGTTCTTTTCCATATGCTCAATACTTTCTACGGAGGCCCGGCGCAGCTCGATAATTGCCGGTGGCTCCAGCGATGGGTTCTGATCGATTTTGGAGTCTAAAGATTGACCACTGAATTTTTTCCTCCTCTGCCGATTCTTCCTCTCGAAGAAATGCGCCCTTGATCCTTCCATCGCCACATGATTGGTTACCCGCTCTTCGGGATCCGAGCTGCGCCGACCCAAGGTGGGTAGTGGGGGTTGAGAATTCGACCGAGTCGGGCTGGCGTTATGGACTGAAGGGTGTATGGATCTGATGGGGGCGTTGATGGTCTCAAGGCGAGGCAGTCTTCCCACAATCTTGAATCCGATTTGAGTCCTGTCAGAACTGGTTTCAGCTTGAGAGTTCGGACGTTCGCTTTCTCCCGTCACCTGGCTCAGCCCTCTTGCTTCAGGATCCGAAATGTTGTTTGATTGTCGGTTTTCCCTTTTACGCCGAAGATAGACGAAGAATGCAACGAAGGTCAAGATGATGATGGCTGAGAGAAGTCCAATGATTATCATAGTCGTCGACAATGACCTTGACTGTGGGGTTGGAGCAGGCATTACTACCAACAGAATTTTCTACTTATGAGATATATCCTAGAGAGTATGGGCGTATGTTTTCTTGCCCTGTTTTTTTGAGAATTACTTGATTGGTTTTAACTGTTTGTTTTTAGACCAAGGGGAAGGCGAAGTGAGTGTGTGATGGAGGCTAAAAAGCTTGAACGAAAGAATGTTATACGGTCTGAGCAAGTAGATCATTGAACCCAACGGGCAACTTCGTGGAGGCCGACTGATTCTATGGCGCACATGGGGTCTGGGAAGTTACCCAAATTGAGTAGTTATTCCAAATAGGAAGGCTTTAGATAACTCGAGGCAAGATCACGGGAAAAGTCTTGTGGAGTGCTTAAAGTAGTAAGTCACTGGTGGTGTGATTTGAATAAGATTAGGGGAGATTATTCTTGGGGTACATGTGAACCAATCTGAGGCAATGCCCGGAAGCGTAATAAGAGTGTGATGGGAGAAGCCTATCCAGCTAGAAAACACCCGACGGGCACCGTGTTAGTGATGATTATCAGTGTGCGTAGTTCTTTAGACTTCAAGCCTGCTGTGTGGATGGCGCGCTAGGGTGTGTAGGAACGCCTCATGAGTCTCAAGGATAGCCCACATGCCGGGGCTATCAACCGCTCCTGTTTCAGGTTGGGCGTTGGCAAGTCGATAGACTCTATGCCATGGGGGGAAAACATTCGACTTGTTTCAGAGCCCTTGAGGCGGGTTTCGGCGATTTCCATCTGCCGGCGTCCACACCCGGAACGCCGATTTAACAGATAAAGGTAAAATGTACCTATAACGTAAACTGCTTCCCCGACCTCACTTCTCCTGCAATATGTAGCTATCTTTGAAGGCTTCATTCAAGCGCAGATCCCAGTTTCTAACGAAACGCGTAGGTACCCGTTATCAATTATCAATCCCGCTGCAGCTCTTTTCCGCCCGGTAATCGACCCGGTCAAACCACATAAACACCTCACAGAGCGACAAATGACCAAGATTCATCTTCTAGCATGTGTTGCGCGCCTCACAGATGCCCACCTGACCATATTTGTACTCTGGGGTACAACCTATAAAGTGTATGTAAGCCCAATCATTCGCGCTAGGCGATTCTGCGAACAAGCTGAGGACCATCTCACATAGCTCGATACTTCCACCGCCATCTACTAGTAATACGTACCCACTTGTTTTAAATTGCCGACGGAATATAAGAGATTTCCAGCTGAATAACTCCTTACAGCTTCTCTGACCGTGGCAGTCTTCTCCTCTAGAGTCCGCCGCCACCCCGCTATCTACAATATTGACTTCAGCAGATCAATCGGCCGGACGATGAATTATGAATTTCTGATTCATGTATGTAGGGACATATTTATAAAAGTTTGACGACCAGAATGAAGGCAAGAAGATTGAGGAGGGTTGGATTTGCTTCAAGCTTATACTAATTAACTTTGCTTGTTGGATGCTATTTTTGGACAACGATGGTTGGATGGAAGCGGTTAACCTTTATTGGATGGAAGAGGTTAACCTTTTGTTAGAAGGAGATTGATTTTGGGCTATGAAGGCTTGAGGATGAAGAGGGCATTTTCAAACATGACAATCATCTATCAATCCCTTTGCATCATACCAACAACATACATCTTGTGGAGGGCCAGGACATCTATGTTCACAATGTTTTTTCAGTCTCTGTTCATCCAATTCTTTTCCTGCTTCTTCAGAATATTTATGGATTTATTTAATTGGTTTTGCATGTGTATATGTATATGAAGAACAACTAAATTTGAAGAAAAAAAAGTATTGGTTGAGAGGAGAGGAGAGAGGAAGAGAAAGAAGAAGAAAAAAAGTACAAACAAAATTGACGAAAATCACACATTTTTCTCAGGGTTTTTTTTCCTGAAAAAGTGTGAATATCTGGTTAATGCTTTAGGCTGGTAGTGAGACATTCAGAGCATCAAAAATGAGTTGTCTTCGTGATGAGGGAAAAAGTAGTTTGTGTGGTTGTGGAATTGGGTAATGTTTCCTTCTACTAGGAAGACGTTAGGGACTTGTGTTCACGGTCGAAGCCAGCTGAGAAAGAATCAGGAATGACTTGATTCAATGGCACCCTAATGGTTTGTCAAAAAAATCATATAGAAGTCAGCAAGGACATTGAGCATAATGGCTTTTCACAACGGCAAAATGGCGATGATTTATGGACGCACTCGGATTGCAATTTTCCACCGAGAAGCACTGGCCCGTTCTTGGCTCGGAAGTCTTGGATTCTGGCCTCGATTTCTGGCTTGAATTTTCGTAGCAATCCTTGGATTGGCCAAGCTGCAGCATCACCCTATTGAATTGAAATGAGAAGCCAGTAGGGTAAGATACTTTCGACCAACGTAAGGAGAAGAAACAAAGAGAGAGAATTTACCAAAGCACAAATGGTGTGGTTTTCGATCTGCCGAGTGAGTTCCCATAGCATATCGATCTCTCGTTCATGGGCTCGGCCGACGACAAATCGGTCCATCATCTTCTCCATCCATGTGGTACCTTCTCTGCATGGAGTGCATTGCCCGCAACTCTCGTGTTTGTAGAATTTCGCAAATCGGGCAATGGCTGCTACGATGTCCGTTGATTTGTTCATCACGATCACTGCGCCTGTTCCCAATCCTGAATAGAGATCTTTCAACGAATCGAAGTCCATCCTATATGTAGAAAAAAATATCAAGTTCAAAAACAATGATTGGGTATTGATGGTCATCTATATTGCGAACACTCACAAGGCTTCTTCACATTCAGGTTTAGTCAAGACTGGTACAGATGAGCCACCAGGAACGATTCCGAGCAAGTTGTCCCATCCGCCAATCACACCGCCGCAGTGTTTGTCGATCAAGTCTCTCAAGGGGATCGACATTTCTTCTTCGACGACGCAGGGATTGTTCACATGGCCGGAGATACAGAAGAGCTTGGTGCCACTGTTACGTTCGCGGCCGAAGGAGTTGAACCATGAAGCGCCTCTGCGGATGATCGTCGGAGCGACCGCGACAGTCTCGACGTTGGCCACCGTAGTGGGACATCCGAATAGGCCCACATCCGCTGGGAACGGCGGCTTCAATCGCGGCTTGCCTTGTTTTCCCTCCAGCGACTCGATCAGGGCGGTCTCTTCTCCACAGATGTATGCTCCCGCTCCTCGATGTAAATACACATCAAAGTCGTAGCCAGAGTTGCAGGCATTCTTGCCGATCAGACCGGCCTTGTAGGCTTCATCTATCGCGGCTTGTAGATGATGAGCTTCCATGATAAATTCACCTCGGATGTAGATGTAAGCTACCAAAGGAGAGAAAGCAGCAGAGGAGGCAAATGGATTAGATCGTAAATTCAATCACAGAGAGAGTGCTGGTTGAGTTGAGAGTATGTACCAGCAGATGCGTTCATAGCCCGACCGGCGACGAGACAGCCTTCGACCAATTTATGAGGATCGCCACGCATGATTTCGCGATCTTTACAAGTACCGGGTTCTCCCTCGTCGGCATTGACGACGAGGTATCTCGGACGGGGGTCTTTCTCGAAGCCGGGCTTGTTCATGAATGACCATTTCAAGCCCGATGGGAAGCCTGCGCCTCCTCTCCCTCTCAGGCCGGACTCCTTGATCTCTTTGATGATGAACTCGTGGCCCTTCAGGATGATGTCTTTTGTTTTGTGCCAGTCTCCTCGGGCCTGCAATAATCGTGCAAACAAAAATTCAGTATATGCTGTTGAGAATATGGCGTGGGGCAGATGGCTGGTACTCAACTTGAGCACCCTGTAGGAGATGGTCGTGCTTCATGTAGGCATTTTGGAAGATCCTGTCTTGGTCTTTCAAGCCACCATGCGAGCGACTGGGAGTGTTAGTTGGGACTGAGTTTGAGACTGTTGCGAATGATCTGAGCTTGGCGGAGTGTTGGCTTGGCTTGATGGATCGAGTGGATGATGGTATGATGGTTCTGATGGTTGATGTTGAGGGCATCGTTGGTTTCTATGTCTATTTTCGGTGGTGTTGTGAGTTGGTGGTTGTTGTTGGTTGAGTTGGAAAGTCTTGATCAGGAAAGTTGGCGAAGGAAAAGTTCGAGTGTAAGTTGCCGAAGCCGACTTGCCGAATTTGGTAAGTCACTCCCGACTCCGAGTTTCGACAACACAAGAGCACCCACCCAAAAAGAAGTGGCTTGATACCCACATTGGGAAACTGGAGCAACAACTGAGGATTGTATCAAACTGTCCAAATACGTAGTCCTTGGTAAGCACCCTGGAAACACCTTCTGGATGTAAATGCAATTTTTGGCAACAAGAAGTAAAAAAGGGCACTCTACCAAAAATCAATGAATCAGTTCAGGTTTGTTTCCTGCCAGGGCGATGACCTAAAATGCATGGATGGATAATGTCTAGTTTGATTGTTTGTATTTTGTGCTTATATCAACACATTCTTTGGCTCATTTCAAAAAGAAAAGAAAAGACCTCCTGGGAGCTACCATGAGAGACGAAAAAATGTACGTATCCAAGGAAATTCAAAGTAAGAAACTTGTGAGGATTTGGGACTTTTTTTATTTGATTCTGTCCTAAATTTCAAAAAGAAGAGGCCACACTTCCAAATAAAAGTGATAAATAATTTTGTATGTATGTTAAATGAGGAGAGCCTTGAAAGAGTAAATTATTTGAACACTACCAGAAAAATCAGCATTCTGGAAGTATTTTCTCTCTTTTATTTTGAACTCTCTCTCTCTCTTTCATAAATTATGGAAACATTAGTAAATAGGGTTTTGCCACCACTGGGTGGGGAAGGCTCAACAGACTCACAGAGCCATAGATGAACCCTTAAGTGATGAAGCTTCATCCCAAGCTCTAAAGAGCCTTCTCCACCCAGTGGGGATAATTTCTCATGTGCTGGCTTGATTTATTACTAGGGAAGCTGTTTGCTACTGGGGAAATCTACAGGTTGCCCAGAACCAATTTAGAGCCTCAAAGACCAAATTGAATTTCAGTGCAAAGATGCAGTGTTTCCAAGTCTAGATTTACTTCTGCTTCCACTGATGGCATGTCTAGTTCTCAAAACAAACCTCTGCTGACATTCCAGCAAAGCATTAGTTTACAGGGAAGCTTGCCTTTAGAAGCAAGATCCCATATTGCTCAAACTGAACTATTTGGTTTTTAGAGCCAATCTTTTTAGGCATTCAACAACAACTTTTGAGAATTGTGATAAGCCAGCCAACAGGGTTCTGAACAATCAGTAAAGATTTTTTATTTATTTTCAAAAACATTGTTGATAACCACCCCAAAATGGGCTTTAAAATTTTATAACATTCCCATCATGAACCCTGGTGAAATAAAGCATAAGTGGCCAACCTTGATGTTATGATTGGCAACAGTTTTGGACCAATGTAAACTGGCATCATGTGTGTTAATGAAGCCAAAGGGACATCAAAAATCTTGGAAGCTGTCATGATCCCTTGTTTAATGTCAAATTTGCCACAACTGCTTGTTATGATACAACATGATACCTGTCTCCAAGTAAGATACATAACTGGAAATGACCGCATACTACCTTCACTGGTAAAAAGGAGCTTTTGCTGCAGTGTATTTGCAAGTTTTACTGTGGGGCTCCATCCCCAGATAAGTGAGCTACAACAACAATATTGAGGATTCCAATGGCTCCATGGGGGTAAAAAGACATTGTTGGACTCAAACTTCAAAATGTATCTGCACCAAGCCGGACCCTGTTGTCCACAGGCTTGCATTATCAATAAATAAGCAGTTGGGTAGATAAAATTCATTTTGGATTCTGATAGTATTACTACACTGTTGTATGGGGTATCAGACCACAGACCTTGTCAATTATTGAGACCAAGCAGGGTCAGACTTGTTATAAGTCCTGAAAACAACTTGATCTGGAAAGTCTTGAAGTTGCAAACCAAGAAAAAGAAATCACTTCTCAAGCTTGAATCAGCCCTTGGCAACTATTGAGCAGATAGCATGGTTTTGGAGATTTCATGAGCAGGCAACTTGACCAGAACAGTTACATATGGCCCCAATCAGTTTTGCCTGCGAAGGCAAGGTTGCCGTTGCATGTGGGTTATGTGTATGATGGGAGAGTGAGAGGTGTATGCGCCAATCCCACTCGCGCGTACTTCAGCGCGACGCGAACCAGCTTGCAAGTAAATATTTTGGCCGAGTCAGCCTCAACACGAACAACCCAAACCACCACCACCACCACCACAGAACAACAAGCTCATCAAACATTCGCTCGGGATGCCGCCATTTGGATTTGACAGGGTAAGTGAAGAAAAATACTATACTCTCACCGTACATCTTCTGGGATAGCACAACCAACTGACTTGTTATTTTCCCCCGTAGGGATCGGTCAATGTCGTACCCGTACTCGGCTCCGCGGCCGATCTCGACACCACATCTAGCCATGGAGCTGGACTGATTGGAGGGGTTCCACCTTACAAGAAAATCCAAACCCTCAGAAAATTCATCCAAGATTTCAGACTGGGTGAATGTTTTATATACAGGTAGATACACTTTGTCAGCCCCATTGTTGTTCCCGTTTTCACCGCTATTCAAACCCCTCAAATTCGCCTCCTCGGCTTATGCTAGGGATCGGTTGCGCACGAATTTGTTGGCCAAGGTTTATGCGATCGAGGTCGAAATGCAACATCTGATCGTCTATGATGAGGAACTGGCTCATTCGATCTCCAACATGCCAGGAGAAGTACTACCCTTGGTCAGTCTTCTTTTAAGATTTTTTATTATTATTGCCAACAAATATATGTTAAAAAGATCTCCAAGTGAACTGGTTTTGTGTTTTCAACACTCTGTGTTAACGATTGGATGATCAGTTTGAGATTGCGGTCAGAAAAGTAGCAGAAGCGATGGTCTCGCCGATGTCCAAAGCAGGGGATCTGTTTGACGACGAGGATCCCGAAATCGAGCTGGCTGCACAAGGTGTCCATGATATTCCTGATTTCCAAGTCACTCTCAGAAGTGAAGCTCGCTTGATGCAATTCAGAGATTTATTAGTTAGTCAAACTTCAAAAATCATTGTACTTTTTTTTTTTTCTTTTCGTTCGTGGATCTGATCATGACCCTTGTTTTGCTGATTGATGTATCACAAAGGCCCCTAATATTTCTAAACTTGTTCGAATGCCCGGAATCGTCATCTCGGCCTCAACCTTGTCCTCTCGAGCGACAATGTTACACTTGGCTTGTAAATCGTGTCGACACGTGCGCCGGATCGCGGTCCAAGGAGGTTTCACCGGATTCACCCTACCACGGATGTGCTCGGCGACGCCGATTCAAGGAGAGAGGAAAGAGTGTCCGATGGACCCCTACACAATCGTCCACGAAAAGTCCAGATTTGTTGACCAACAGTCGGTCAAGCTCCAAGAAGCACCCGACATGGTCCCCGTCGGCGAGCTTCCCCGTCACATCCTCCTCTCCCTAGACCGATATCTCACCGGGAAGGTCGTCCCTGGATCCAGGATCATCGCTACTGGAATCTACTCAACCTTCAATGGATCCGGAAAGAACCAAGGCGCGATCGCCCTGAGACAACCCTATCTGAGGGTCGTCGGACTCGAGCTCGACGGGGACGGACATGGGAGTAATGGGGGGCAGCATCAGTTTAGTGCTGAGGAAGAGGACGAGTTCAATGGGATGGCCAATTCACCTGGGTTTTATCAGAGATTTGCTGAGTCGATCGCCCCTTCGATCTACGGTAACGAAGATATCAAAAAGGCGGTCGTCTGTCTTTTGATGGGCGGCTCGAAAAAAATCCTACCGGATGGGATGAGATTGCGAGGGGACATCAACGTCTTACTACTCGGAGATCCGGGAACGGCCAAATCCCAGTTGTTGAAGTTTGTCGAGAAGGTCTCCCCGATCTCAGTGTACACATCCGGGAAGGGTTCCTCGGCTGCCGGACTGACAGCCTCGGTCCAACGAGACCCCCAGTCGCGCGAATTTTATCTCGAGGGAGGCGCGATGGTCCTCGCCGATGGCGGCGTGGTGTGTATTGACGAGTTCGACAAGATGAGAGACGAGGATCGAGTGGCGATCCACGAGGCTATGGAGCAACAGACCATCTCCATCGCTAAGGCTGGTATCACCACCATCCTGAACTCGAGAACTAGCGTTCTCGCCGCTGCCAATCCGGTCTTTGGACGGTATGACGATATGAAAAGCCCTGGCGAAGTGAGTCCTCTTGTCCTTCTCATTCATCCCCAAAATCCTTAAAGACCTGAATCCTTACCCTCTGTACTTCCAGAACATCGACTTTCAAACTACGATTTTATCAAGATTTGATATGATTTTCATCGTCAAAGATGAGCATGATGAGTTACGAGACAGAGTGCGTATGACTTCCAAAGTCCCTCTTCTCAAGTTTTATTAACCATGTATGCATATCTTATGTAGACTATTGCGCGACACGTGATGGATTTACACATGAACCGAGCTGTAGAAGCACAGCAGACGGGAGAGATTGATCTACAAAAGATGAAGCGATTTATCACATATGCCCGAACGTAAGAGACGTCGATTGAGATTTGAGAAGTTCTATCTAACATACATGTAACTAATCATCAAACGGCTCTGAACCCCTTTTGTCTCAGTCGTTGTTCGCCCCGGCTCTCGCCCGAGGCGGCTGAGGAACTCAGCTCGCACTTTGTTTCGTTGAGGAAACAGGTCCAACAAGTCGAACGGGACAACAACGAGCGGTCCTCGATTCCGATCACGATCAGGTCAATCTTCGCATTCCATACACTTTCCCATTGAGTGAGGGAAGAGCTGACCAGGCTTGACGATGAATGATAAAAACGAAACACAGACAGCTAGAGGCAATCATCCGGATTTCAGAGTCAATAGCCAAGCTGAGTTTATCGCGTCGGGTAGAAGTATATCACGTAGAAGAGTCGATCCGACTGTTCAAGTACTCAACCATGGATGCCGTCCAAGCGGGGAACATCGAAGGGATCACCAAGGGGGAGTTGCAGGAGGAGATAGCCAAGGTCGAGACCGACATCCGACGTCGGCTGCCGATTGGCTGGAGTACCTCCTACAGCTCCCTCCTCAACGAGTTCGTCAATCAACAGGGATACAGCGCCCATGCCTTGGAACGTTGCTTGTATATCCTCGAGAGGAGAGAGGTCATCAGGTCTGCCTCCTCGTTCTCTCCTCTCCATCCTCCCCTCCTCGTCTCTTATCTTGTCCTTTTTTTTTCTTCTCTGAAAAACAAAAACAGGTTCACCGGCCAAAAACGTACCGTCCAAAGGGTCGGAGCTTGAAGCTTTTCGGCACATACCACAATATACATACACAAACTGACATTGACAGGTGTAACATCTTTTTCTTTGTTGTTGCACAAAACGTGTGACTTTCTCAAGTTTTTTTTTTTCTCGCTTCTCGAAGTAATGTTTTATCACCCCCTTTTTCCAACTCTTGTTTAACGATGACATGTATATATACACGGCGGGGGGATTTTGCCAGGTGAATGACGCCCCCAGAGCGTCACTGGCAAGTTAGGGTCCCCGTGACCCGAAGTATCGTCAAGGAGACAGAGATGGGACCCACCGGTCCATGCGCCGGTTTCCAGAACGATTCTCCCTGAGTCACTCCGAGTTTCGTGACGGGGACGCTTCTAATGGCGATTCTCGTGATATCTCATGGGTCGCCCCGGTCCCCGCGACGCCCTACATTGAATTTTTTTTTGTTCCAGCAAAACATGTGCAATGACTTTTATTATCTTTGAGCCATCGAGAAAAAACGAAAAAAAAAAAAATGAAAAAAATGAAAAAATGACTTGTAATTTTTTTTGGTGAGCTAGATTAGATTGTTGGTGCTTCGAAAGAATCAGTACCGACCGGCAGCTTCGAATGTCAAGATCTTCATGCTTGGCACAGCGGTTGTCGCTTGGATCTCCTGATCGGAAGCTGATCGAGCGGTCCCGAGTAGACTGGCAGGACGTGTTCGAGCCTGCTTCGGCGGAAAATTTTTTGCTGAACAGGCGAGCCGGCTTTTGCGTACAATCTACCCAGGTGAAAGCGTCGCCGGTGCGTCCCGGGTGACGATGCTGCCTCCGAAGGCAAAGCGTTTCCGAAGCGTCATGACAACCCGACGTCTTGCTCGACGCACCCATGTTGCTCGGTCACAGTTGCGCTTCAGTAAGCGTCGCCTTGGTCACTGTGACGCTCGAATCCCCCCGCCGTGTAGTGATGTCACTTAGCATATCGGTGAAACTTGGTCTTAAGAATTGGAATTGAATTGAAGGTTGCACCAATTGATCGGGTCAAATTTGCCACAATAAATAGACAATTTTCACCATTGTCATCATGACTACATTGGTCCAGCTGGTTACACGTTGCCTCATCAAAACCACTCCAACAATCAGCACGACCAAAAATTCAAGTCACCAGTTCGAGTCTTCACTTGCCAATCAAATCACTCGCAACATCTGTATATCATGCGTTTCGCAGGCTCCACCGTCCTTTTGACGTTTGCGCTGTGGCTCCATGGAGCTTTGACAACGGCGATGACTCATAGGCTGTCGCCGACGAATGATGACCTCCAATGGCGCCCTTTGGATATGGCTCCCCACACCAACAACTTGGAAGGGACCCGGTGGCATGCACATCACTGTGGTTTCCGGCAGGTTGTTTTCCGAACTGAGGAGGGCACCTGTGATGCCTGTGGGGCAGGCGTTCCCAACCGACGGGGGTATCTTTACTGTACAGGCTGCAAGAAAATCCATCCATCTACGATTCCGTTGAGTGTCTGCGCCGAAGACAGTTGTCGAGCTTCTCCAATTCCTCCCTTGATTGCCAGCAAGCATGCTCAAGGATGCCTGCCTCAAATGAAATCTCACTTCTTCAACGGGAAGTGTGAAGGATGTAATGGTAACATTGAAAGTAAATACGGCTGTGTGGCCTGTGAGTCCTGCGGGTATTCCGTTCCCCAGTCACAGGTCAGAATCAAGTACTGCACGAGGCGCTGTAAAAGTTTGAAAACATTGCTATAAATCACAAAATAGGAAAAAAAAATAAATCCGTCAAGGAACAAATTAACATTGTTTTCAAAAGAATAAAATGTACATACATACAAGAAATGTGTACTCAGACTCAAGACTTTCAAAAGCCAGATTAGAAATAAAAGTAAGGTACTAATTATAAACAAAGTTTTTGGATTTTGGCTTTTTTTATTTGAAAAGTATTTGAAAACGAAAAAGAAATCAAAAAGAAATGAAAAAGAAGTTCAAAAAGTTTTCGAAACAGACTCAAATAATTTATGCAGTTATAAAACTACACCGGCCGTGGCGCCGTGGGTCCATTTTCATGCACCATCTGCATCAATCTGGCGGAACTCCTGACCTCTCATCAGGTGCAGCGCATTTGTCACACTGACACCACCGAGTAGATGTGCTCACAGGTGGGGTCTTGTCTGGGGTAAGCCGATGGGCTTTGGGCTTTATTTCTCTATGATCAATGCGTAGGCTCTCTTTCAAAAACGACCAGGCTCTCTATCTATCACGACTAGACAACTAGACAACAGCTTTCTACAATAATGAGGCAAAGGGCTCAGTAGGGAAAATCAGGTCGGTTCCGGTTGGAACCCATGGTTAAGTTGTAGTATCGTCGCAAGATGACCTCATTATCTAAGCCCTGCAAGAGGGGGTAATCAGCTCGGTCGCTTCTGTTGTTATTGAAGTATGTAGACCATCGTTGGAACCCTGGGGTCTCCTGCATGGTCTGATGATACTGATTGTTGATGCGGTCAACGAAGTCGACGATTTGGGAGGCTGCGTCAGAGTTGTCCTTGATCATTTCTCTGGACGACAGGGCGGGTTGGGAAGCGTCGAGTGGAAGGTCATCGGGCGGACCAAATATCTGCTCGAGTCGGGGCCAGTCCCGGCAGATCATATCCCCATAACCTGTTGGGGCGGGGGGGGGGGGGGGTTAGGTTGCCTGCGTAGGTGCGATGAGGTTGAGAAGTGAGTGAGTTACCATCGAAGGAAAGGTATCCATGGGGGTATCGTTGGCGAAGGTCCTCTGGGCTCAGCCGGCGGTAGTTGCATGCATGATGGTATCCTTCGCGGAGCATGTGTATTTTCCACGAGATGCCTATATTTTCTGGCTATCAGTATGTCGTAAAAGGTCGGATGGAGGGTTGACTGGGCCTTACCATGTGGGGTCCGATGGTGGATGCCTCTTTGGATCATCACCTGGTGGATTTCCTTTGTCAGTGGAGCCTTCCGCTTGGCTTGGCACCACCTATCATAGTTATCTGGAACCAATAGCCAATCCAGGAGAACTTCAATGCTATTAGGGCGGCCGTTGACTCCACCGTCTGTCTCCCAGGGAAGCGCCATGGGCGATTGTGATCAGGGGGGGGTGGAGGAAGGGAATTGGACTGATGATGGTACCGTATATAACTACATGAAACGCGGGGTTATATGGCCTGGCCCCGGCCAGGGTTAGGTCTCGTGTGAGACCTATTTGTGGCTCTACCAAGGCCAGCCCAGTAACCCCCGGCTGGCATTTGCTTGGGTCTATGAGGAGGCCATCGCCGACGGGGGATGAAGTAGCAGACTTCATGAAGATGCCGGGAAGTTGGACGGACGATGTGATGGCCCTGTGGCTCCTGACTCAAGAGCTTCAAAGGGAACCGGAATTGATCTACATCCGTGCGCGCCGGGAAGCTTTCAAACGGCCCGATCGGTGGGAGCCGTGGTTGGATGCAAGAATCCCCCCGACACGATTTATCGAACTGTTTAGGATGTCTATTGAAGACTTCCGGTGGTTGAGTAACAACCTGCGGGACCTCTTGCAGCTGGATCCGTTGCGGCGGGGGGACCCCTTGTCAGTAGAAGCTCAAGTTGCCGTGGGATTGTACCGACTCGGTCACGGTTGCAGCTATGTGACTCTTGGCCATGTATTCAACATTGGTAAAGAGACTGCCGACAAGGCAGCTGGCCGCTTTGTGATTGCGGTTCTGGCGAGGTTCCGGCGGGTGGCTATCAGGTACTTGGGATTGATTCTGTTTGCTTTTTTATCTATTTGAAAATGTGGGTGGGGAGGAACTGATGCCTGACTTCATCTGCAGCTATCCTCCATTAGACCGGGCGGATCAGTGGAGCGAGATCAGTGCATCCTTTGAGGCCAAGCATGGCATTCCTAATGTCGTTGGAGCGATTGATGGGACACACATCCCCGTGGCCACCCCGGCGGAGGACAGATGGAAAGGCTACATCAATAGGAAAAGCTGGGCCTCCATTGTCTTCCAATGCGTTGTCGATGGCGAAGGCAATTTCCGCAATGTAAGTTCCCGCCAATCTCTGGCACTCATTGGGCATCAGAACTGATCACCCCCCTTGGTCCCGGATGTCTAGGTCAGTGGTGGAGCCCCAGGTTCCATGCATGATGGGAGGCTCTTCCGTCGGTCCGAGCTGGGGCATAGCATAACTACCGGGACGAGGGCGCGCCCAATGATACCTGATGGGACGTACCTGATCGGTGATGCTGGCTATCCATCTAACGTCCGGATTCTACTACCTTACCCATCGACCGCAACCCCGGAGAACGAGCATTTCAACTACATTCAGTCCTCCACTCGGATCATCGTCGAGCAGGTGTTCGGCCGACTCAAGAATCGCTTCCGGATCCTCTTACACGCACAGATGGCCCGGCCCCTGCGTGCGAGGAATAATGCCTTTGCATGCATGATCCTGCATAATCTGCTCAACAAGCGGGGGGCACTGTATCTTCAGGGATGGGACACACGCAATGCGGCCGAACTCGCCTTCAACGAGCTCCCTAACGAGCGGCACGAGGGGGGGCAAAGACCTATGGCAAATGAGGTCGGAATGTCTATGAACACCGTGCGTGATGATCTTAGGAGGCAATTGTGTTGACACGGCGGATCATGGGATTCAATATATTTCCTCTGTTATTTAGTCATATCATGTCTCAGAAGAAATTCATGGATCCTATCTGATCTACGTGCCATCCCAAAACAACATTCTAATTGTCAGCCTGCTACTATTCAGAGACAACCTGACCATAGCATTTTAAATATTTAGAGACATTATTACATATGCTACCCCATAGCATATGTAATTAATGTCTATTTTATATGTACATAATATAGAGACATTATTACATAGGTACATATAAAAAACATTAATATTTAAATAAGTGGAATCACTATAATAGAGACATTATTACTCATTACATTAAGTTTTACTAGTCATGAAAGAAAACGTAAAAATAAACCAAAAACATTTATAAATAAACATTTTTTAACATGAATCTACAAATAACTTCCAAACCTTAAGCAAAAGTTAGAATATTATTTCAGATTCTTAATTCTCATGCAAAATAACCTAGGGTACCTCACCAGAAGTACCCCTGAATTATTACTCCTTCAGGTACTTCTGTGTACTCTGAGTGACACTTGCTCATTTTGCTAAAAACCCTCCCAGTTACATCATACTACATGTTGTGACAGGTCTACATATGTAATTAAGGTTCATGCAGTTCGGGAAAAATCTACAAATAAGGTTGACATCATTGAAACCTTAACTACATTGTCACAACAACTGTAACTGGCTGGTCAAAAGCCATTTGTGGCCCTTTTTGGCCCAATTTGGCTAACTACGCCTGGTTAAGACCAGCCCACTGGTCATTAAAGGGTCCCAGTGCCCAAACCATGGCTGCAGGTGTTGGAATAGCATGCATATGCATTGTCAAGTATGCTTCTAACCTTAACACATACAATCTTGTATATAACTCATACTAGATTGTCATTGGCGTTTTCCCTCTAGTGAATCAAGAACCATTCCTTTCTCACTCTCAGGTGTCACAAGACTTCTCAGTCTGTGAACTTCAGGCAGCTCATCCTGTGTCCCCTTCAACAGGTTATGAGGCCCATCGTCGCTCCGCTCCGACTCAGCTTCCTTTCTTTCAACAATCTTCTCAAATCGTTCATCAAATTATTATCTCTCGAGATGCCTGCACGAACTGTCCAGAATCCCTCGGCACTCATTGGCAACGTTCCGGTCCTCGATGGAAATTCTGTTACCTTTCCAGCCTGGCGTACCCGACTTGAAGATCTCCTTGCGATTCAGGGGGTGCACGACATTGTCACCGGAAAGCTTTCTCGACCCGAAACGGACTATAAGGACGCTAAACCGGTAGCCCAAGGCTCTCAGCGGGTGTACTTCGCCGAGGAATCCGGCACCGACTGGGACTCTTTATCCGAAGTGGCTCGGGCCACTATGAAGATGACGCTATCGGTTGACTTGGCGATTCGATACAAAGACTTGAAGCCCGCCAGTCTCCTTTTCAAGACCATCTGCGACGCGTATGAGAAAAATACTCGGGCGAGGCGGATGATGCTAGAAGACTCATTCTGGTGCGCTCGACATGATCCGAATCAACCAATTGCGAAGTGGATCGCAAAGATACGCAATGCGGCATCCGATCTTAAATCCGTGAAGCTCACTCCAGCCGATCAACAAATCTGTGATCGGCTCCTGCGTGGTCTAGACGACACTTGGAAGCCGATTCGGGACCATCTTGTCTATTCGCCTAACGAGATCTCTCTTGACGACGCCATTGGGGCGCTTGAGGCTCACGAGGTTTCCATGCAAGTGACGTTCGACCACTCGGGCGAGAACTATGCGGCGGCGGCTGTAACGAAACCGAAGAAACGACTCGGCTGCTGGAACTGCGGACAAACCGGCCACCACTCCTCCGCGTGTCCCAACCCCTCTCTGAAGAACAAGTCGAACGCAACAGCAAAATCAGCTGTAGCGCGAGCTGGTGCGACCTCTGCGGCACCTCTCGGCAATTGCGGACCTAGCGATGATGAAGATGACGACAGCTTTGACAAAGAAATCGACGTCGTATGGGGATGAGCCCTGAAGTAGAAATTATTTATACATTCGTAGGAAGGGCAACTCCGGCACGACCTGATGGCTAATTCTTCATGGCGATTTGGAGTATATCTGTTATCATGACATTTCCCTGCTCTTTGTTTCCATCAGATCTCTGGCCTGATTTTAATTACTAGTTTCTGTCCCCCATAAGAAATACTCTTTTCTGTTAATTCAAGGTAGTTTAGATATTTCATTTATTTTAGTTTTTGGTTTTCAGCAAGGGGGTGTGTTGGAATAGCATGCATATGCATTGTCAAGTATGCTTCTAACCTTAACACATACAATCTTGTATATAACTCATACTAGATTGTCATTGGCGTTTTCCCTCTAGTGAATCAAGAACCATTCCTTTCTCACTCTCAGGTGTCACAAGACTTCTCAGTCTGTGAACTTCAGGCAGCTCATCCTGTGTCCCCTTCAACAGCAGGTTCGTCACAGCACTCCTTAGTGTGTGTTACATGCCTCACTTCAGCCCTCTGCCACCTGTAACCAAGGACTACAGGTGTCCAGGCAGTGCTACAGGTCACTAATGCCTAGTAGGAGGCTTACACCAGCCAAACAGAGTTCTGAGTTCGCCTCCAAGGGCCCAGAATGAGTATATAAGGAGCCCTTCTTGACCACGAACTCAAAATCCGATCTTCATTACCATTTACCAGCAATAACCACCTCCAACAACCAGTTGTCACCTGTTTTTGGCCCAGTTCCTGCTGTTTCTGTCTTGGATATCACCAACCCAACCATCAACTGTTCCCCAGCACTCTTCCAACACCTGTTACCCAGTTTTCTGAGCGCTCCCAGACCAGTTTTCACCCATCTGAAGTCCCCTTGGCTTGGAAATAGTACTAAGTAGGTAATATTTCCTTGATACTTCAGTTGTAGGCATATTGTCTGGGCATACTCCTTTCCACAAAGGACCAGATCATCAGGTACATCAAAAATACCCCTGTTTAACAGGTCCTGATTCCTTGGAGGGCACCATAAAAACCCCTGTAACTCAGGCCCCTCCTTTTATAAAAACTTAACAGTTTTTATTATCTCTTTTCTTAATATCAAACACCTCCCATTCCAAGTGTTACCCACACTTGTACACCTTTTTTCTTAGCTTTGCACCTGGTGTAGCTAGAAGAGTCAAGCTCTTGGCATCACCTAGGCTGACACTAATTGCGTTTGAGGTTGCTTGCCTAAGTTTGTAGTCGTCGGCGCCCGGGTCGATGACCCCGGTCGGGTCGGATTCAGAGGAAACTGCTGATGGCAATGGGGCCCGCGTGGTCCCTTGTGACCCAGGACTCCCAGGGGGAGTTCGTGAATCTGTAGTGCTCGTGTGGACGGTCGAGTCCTCGTGTGAGTGGGACCGGCCTGATGAGGAAAGCCTCAAGGAGTTCTCCGGCGTCAAGGGTACCGGGACGCTGGGGGCTTCAGTGCTATGTTTGCCGTCGCAGTGGGTCCTGAGGGCGTTATGGTCGGAATTGGACCTATCGTCCTCATTCAAGCGACCAAAGCTGTTGGCTCCCGGATGGGCCTCGGGCAGCTGGGGGAGGTCAAACATCGTCAGTGCGTCAGGAGAGGGAAATTGTCAGGGCCGGCTTGCTCACCCATTTGCGGCGCATGCTGTTCCGTAGGTAATGACCGCGGTCGTTTGCTCGGATGTTAGATGGGCAGTTGCCAATCCCGTGTGCCTCCTTTTCATGGCGGACCCTAGCGTTCAGTTCGGTCGTTTGGGCTGTGTCGCTGTCCGGAATGCCACCGTCGGGGTCGTTAAGGTGAGACATGGCAGCGAAAATGCGTCTGGATCCGATGTTAGCCCTGACTCCTACCGCACCTGAGTCGCTCACCAGTGATGATACCTGGGGGGAAATCACCTGGATAGGCAACCCTAACTGATACAGCTGCTCAAACGGGGTCATCAGAATCACGGCGCGCACGGACCAAGAGCCGCATGTGGGTGCATGAGGTCGATGATGTAGTACGGGGTTCAACCGCAGGGCTTAGATCACATGAGTAGCATTCCAAGGGCAGAGGAACGGCAGATAGATTGCAAGGACAAAGAGAAAACATAACATGGGGACATAAGAGAGCACTCGGACAGTAAGACGAGACATATGAAATGCCTCAGAGAGCAAGATGAACCAAATGCAAGGCCTAGGATTTGCCAGCGCTCGGGATGAGGTCCTGAACCCCCAGCATTCGCATCATGGCGGCCTGGAACAACTGGCTGGCCCTTTCCTGCTCCCGACGAGCGGTATCTTGAACCTTTCGCTCCTCGGCCAAAAGCTTCTGACTAGCCTCGTATCTCCGACCCTCTTCTTGCCGCCATTCCAGTGCCTGTCGCTTCTCTTCCTTCCGATCCTCGTCAGGCACCCGACGCTCCTCATCCAGGGCCTGATTCCTTTTCTCGGCCACGTCGCGGTCCAGCTTGAGTTGACCGTCCCTGATTGAGCAATCATGGGCCGCCTGGGTGGCAGCGGCTGCCCGCGCCGACTCCTTCTCATTGGCCCGCACGTCCGCCAACCGGCAATCCTCAACTCGAGCGGCCTCCTGGCGATCTTGGGACTGCTGAAACATCTGCAACAGCGCCTGAGTAGATGAATCGTCGGGTTTGGTCACTTTGGTCCGGCCGCGTTGGCGGGAAGGGTGGGGGGTGGCAGGCGGCGGCTTTGTTATCACCACTCCCGGGCCCACCGGCGCCTCAATTGATGGTGGGGTCGGGCCATTGGGGCTGGTAACGTCAGCCCCCTGGGGATCCCATCAAACAGCGACGATGCAGGCGGTTGGCCGCCATCTATGGTTGCCAAGGGTGAATCTTGCCCCGTCACATTGTTATCAGAGTCGTCCAACACCAACTCGGCAGCCGTCAAACCTGCCACCCCGCGACGATCTCGCACCAGTTGCGCGTCCTCCAGGGCCGTATTCGTCATGACCGACGCTTGACCATCGACGGTCTCCTCAGGTCCGACGTCATCCACGAGGGCCCCCAGGTCATCGTCCAGTTCAATATGCCCATAGGCATTGGCTGCGGCGTTGTCTCCGTGCATTGCATTCATAAAATTGTAAAGCTGCAATTCCCCAAGGATCAGTTGAGTATGACACCCCAATCCAAGAGCTCGCGGTAGTGTTACTCACCGTTTCCGACAGATGCTCTTTTGCCAATACGTCATGTAGTCCGTTGCTACCCAAATGAGATAGCCTGTCGAAAACAACCTGTAAAGCGACCACAAGAAATCATCTCAGTTAGGCCAATCCACAAGCGAGTGGGCAGACCCCAACAGTGTACCTACCTTCCAGACGTTCATCAAAGCCCGGTAGCGGCGAAGGATGACATCATTCGCAATGCCAATCAGTAGAGGGAAGAGATCCCGATCGGCCTCACGGTTCAGGAAGTAGGGAGACCAGGCTATGAATCCGGGAGTCCGCTCGCTGAGATCGTCGTGTTCCTCCTTGACCTCCTTCACGAAACGCAGAAGTTCCAATGAGGCATCTTCAGACCAAACAAACCTTGGGGTCGGAGTCCCCGTGTCCGTTACCTTCAATGCCGCACGGGCCTCCTTTGCGGCCTGTTTCTGCCTCTGAGCTTCCAGCATCTGCGCCGCCCTCTGGATCTTCTCGGCCTTCTTAGCAGCAGTGACCGCTTTGGCAGCATCGATCTCCGCGCGAGTCCGGTTCTGCTTGCGGGTCGAAGAAGATTTCAAACGTGCGCTGGCCACGGAAGATGAGATGGGATCGATTCGAGCTGGAGCCGACATAGTCAAGATACCTGATGGTGGAGTCGCAGGCACCGCAGTCCTCGTATAGGACAGCTGCCCAGACGGAATAGCCCCCCCGACCCGATGAACGCCGGTCAATGAGCCGATGGCTTGAGAGGGGGTCCCATAATGACCACCGCTGACCTCGATGTTTGTCTGGCTGGCGTGGAGGCCGTGGTGGTGCATGCGGTCATCCTGGCCGAGTGAGCTGTAGGTCGAGTTCGTGAGAGGATCATAGGAATGTAGACCGAGGCCGTCCGCGCTGAGTAGGTTGCCGGATGTGTGCTCGCGGGGATCCATTGAGGGTCGGTGTGGTGGCGGGAGCACACCTTGGCCAAAGCTTTGGCCGGTTTGTTTGGGGCATGCGGAATGCTCGCGGCGCTGATGCGGAAAGCACGCGGAGCTGACGCTACACAAGCAGGCTGAGGAAAGCTGTGATGCGTTAGTGGAAAGTCTAGCTTTCCGAGGCGCGGGAAAGCGGAGAAAAGTAGACCGAATGCACAAGGTTCCGAAAAGCTTACTGCGGGAATCCGGGCACCGGCGGACACCGGGGATCACGGCCGACTGCGGAACGGGGGTTCAGCGTATACTGCGGAGGGGCTACAAGGAGCGGGGGGCACCGAGGGGCGGAAGCGGGGTTCGGAGCGGACCAGAGGCGGAAGCGGCGGTGGGAGACCTACTTGGGAGCGGCCGGAGGAGTACCTGGACCGACCGACGTCGGAGGGGTGACATGCGGAGTCCGAGGGGGTGACAGCGGATGACATCGCGGGAAGTAGGAAGGGACTGGAGTGTGGGATACTTAGGAGGAGTGGAGTTCGAGGCAGAAGAGGGAGGAGAGAGGGGGGACTGAGGACTCAGAACATATCAGAAAAACAGAGTGACTTAGGAGTGAATCGTGTATTAGCCTAAAGAATTGTTAGAGATAGATTAGAGTTAGAGGGGGG